TTCACTGATTTAAGACAATGATTTTTTGCACCCGTATATTCATTTGAATGCTTCCCTAGGGGCAGGGGCAGCAAAATCAATTGTCCGTATTGCCCAGCTTGTCCCGAAGCCAGTATGAGAAGTATAACTTTATTAGAATTTTCTTTATAAATACATGTAAGAAAAGAAATAATTACTGAAAACGGACAATTAAGTCAAAAATTAGATTTTGGCGACCCTGCAGGGAGATTATAATTTGATAGTATTGTATTGTTATGAAATAATGATAGCCGGTGGTGTTTTTTGGTTTTAAGGTTCAGTATTTTGATTGTTTGTTTTTGAAAATTTTTTACCATTGTGCTTATTTTTTGTTTTGATACTATTCTAAAATTACTCCGGATAATATGATGCCTGATAATTGCTCAGTTCATGTACATAGAATTTGGTTTTGTTGTTGTTGTTTTTCTTTTTTCTTACTTTTTCAGAGCTGAAGTCCTGGCTGTTAGCTCGTTTTGAGCCAAGCTCATGACTAATGTTCATTGAATCATTGTACAGATGTTAAGTTTCTTGTTTTGATTTATTTTGCAGTCGGTTTTGTTTTGAACTTTAACATTTTTCCTATCTTTGGTATTGAAATTGCTGACGCAATCGATAAATGGTTTTTTACTTTATTTTTTTTTTTATTTTTTTTTTTATTTTACTTCAATGTTTTACAGTATTAGAAGTCATTTTCAAAAATGTATGTGTAATATTTCACAATCGATACATGTATAACGAATAATTGCAGTCATCTGATATAGGTATGTATGTCCTGCGTTTTATGGAGTTTTGAACTTAATTAGAACCTGATGAAAAAATAATTAAAAGCCAGTGCAGCCTAGGAATTGGTAATTTGGAATTTGGTAATTATACTTTAGCATTTAAATTGTTTATCTTGTATTCAGAGGGCTTAATGAATTTCAACTCAAATAGAAAAAATGGACTGGGCTATGGATGCAGGTGACTTTGATGAAAAGTGTTTTAATTGTTTGTATTATAATTGTCATGATTTCATAAATAAGCATGTTCCAAAATTACTCTTAGATTTCTATTTATAAATATTGGCATATTTGTATGCACCTTTAATATTGAATCAGGCCAGTCTATTTATTTGCTAATAGCTTGATGTTTCATAGAATAGTGGAGTTAACCTACTCACCTATGCATATGTATTAAGACTTGATTATAGTTAATCAAACCCCTTTAATGTCATACATGTAACAGTACTGAAGGTTTTCATTTGAAAATTTACATACATTTACATGTATGTCTTTAAGATTCATTAATGTAAAATGTTATCATTTATATTTTTGCAAATTATTCTTGTTACATGGCTGGTTGAATATCCATTACGATGTTTGCTATACTTTCAAAAGAAAGTTCATAGCCTTATTATTTGCATGGGTTATAAGTAAATCCTAACAATGGCATAATGATATCTTATTCTGAAATCCATAAATATTATTTGATTTTTTGAAAAGAAAAAATCAAATGATTATTGTTGGAAGGTGTAGTTTACTTTCATTTTCCTTTTTCACTGATATTTCATTGTTTAGAGAAAGACTGTGTTCAAATATTGATGTTTATGTTTTTGTTTGAAAAATGCTGTTGGAAAACTATGATTTATTTTTTTGTCCCGTGGTAAAAAACAACGTACTACATTGTATTAGTTTACTCAAATGTAAATTTGTGATTGTAAAACTTCAATTAAAACGGACACTAGGGAAATGTATATATAGATATATTTCAGATTGTTTTACAGGGTAAAATGTAGATTCTGTTATTTTGTTTATGGTAATTCATCCACCTGATCACTCCATTCATTTTCATGATTTATCACATTTTTCCATAAAAACTGAGGTGCAGTACTTTTTTTCCTTTAAAAACAATTCTATCTGTCTTATAAGAGGGCCTAATTTTTGAAACAAAATAAAGACCTCCGTCTTATAAGAGATCTGTGTTATAAGTGAGTTAATATGGTATATAAACTCCCACTAGAAAATACACTTGGAGAATGTGTGTATACAGATTTGAGACTGTTTTAAAAGGGTATAAAGCTATATAGGGCTGTCAGCAACCTATAGAATACAGTAGGTTTTATATACATAAAAATCATGCCAAAGTACCTAAAATTGAAAGAAAGGTGTTTGAAAATTTCTGATTAAGCATGCATGCATTCATTGCTTAACCTACTGATATAGATTTTGAATATTTTGTTAGACAATGTTTTTATATTTGTGTGTATATTTCATGTGTGTTTAAGAATAGATCAATTTTTTGTTACAATTTTTACCATATATGATCATAAGAATATGAAAACAAGTTGATTCTAAAGTTTTGTCAAAGTTGTTATAGTTTATTTCTTCAAATATAGATTTACACCCTTTTGTGGTGATGAGAACATAATGCATGTAATACTATATTAATATGCTCATTGAAATACATGTATATTATTTTCTAATTATCTTGACCTTTATTTATAAGTTTATTTTAAAGCTGCATGCCTCCAGATGTAATCCTAAATAATTTCAAGAAAATGAAATTAGAGAAAAATGTATTAAGATTTTTACGAAAAATCAAATGTTTCAAGATTCAAGTAATATTTTCATGTTATGTGTGATTATTGACTGATTTTGCAGCATTTATCAACACCATATTGCTACTGCATTTGTAAAATGGTAAAGGCTAATTTTGCCATGTTATTAACATAGATAGTAAGCACCATTTGCAATGTGTAAATTAATATCTTTGTTCATTTCACAATATTTTACTTTTTAAGTACATTTTCCAAATTTTCATGAAAATTTACATAAATCTGGAGGCATGCTGCATTAAACATTATTTTATAATGCTGATATTGTTATGTATTTGAATGCTTCTACTACTTTAAGCACTGTTGGCGGTAAATTATTTGTAATTTATATGTTATAGTGGCTTCAGTATATAAATGTAATTGAATAGGAAAATGAATTTGTAAGAAGAAAAGTTTTTATATTAGATATTTTATAATACTGCATGTTCCTAACATCGCTTTTCATTTGATAACGGTTATATTTTTATAGACTTTGTATTACACAGCTGCTCATTCATTTAGTCTAAACAAGCTTTTTACTATCAGTAATTAAATTTTTTGTATTTTAATAGTGATATCCCTTAAATTCTCGTAATGGACTATTCCAAATTCAAAGCTCCTAAATTTCATAAAAAACAAAATGAGTAGTTGCAGGCTTACATAAATAATGAATCTACTGTTAAACAGATAGCGAAATATTTGTATTACATGTAAATAGGGATAAAAAGTTCAAGACTTCAGTGTCTCGGTTTTCTTCTGTTTTATATTTAATGTTTGTAAATTATTATGAATTATATGAAAATTATTTGTATCTATAAACAAGTACACAAGTACTTTATATGAAGTGAAACTCTCTTAAGCATGCAATATTTGTGATATTAGATGCCTATATATACTTATTGTTCCATTGAATGTCTCAAAATCATATACATTTGTACATGTCTAAATCATGTGATATAAATACTCATTATTTGAGTCGCATCACGACAAAACCAACATAATGGGTTTGCGACCAGCATGGATCCAGATCAGCCTGCGCATCCGCGCAGTCTGATTAGGATCCATGCTGTACACTTTCCAACTCTATTACAAGTAGAGAAACTGATAGAGAACAGCATGGATCCTGATCAGACTGCGCGGATGCGCAGGCTGGTCTGGATCCATGCTGGTCGCAAACCCATTATGTTGGTTTTGTTGTGACACGGCTCATTTTGTTTATTGTTTTTGTTTACAATGTTTATATTTTTGTATATGAAAAGTTGTTAAATTTGGAAACATATCATACATTTCCACATTATCCTTACAGTTTTTGTACTCAGAAAATTTTGTATAAAGTTTATTTTTTGTTGATATAAGTGTTGTCTTCTTTTCTTAATGTCCCATCATTTTTAGCCTGACTTTTCAATAAGAATAAGTAGAGCTATCCTAGTCACCCCGAGTGTTAGCATTGGTGTCGACATAACCACTTATGTTAAAGTTTTTGTAACAACTCAAATATTTTCAAAGTCCATTGGCATATGGCCTTGAAACTTTGCCCAACCTGTAGACAGGAGGAGGTTACTCTATCAAGCATTTTGACAGAATTATGCCCCTTCTATGACATAGAATTTACATTTGAGTTTGGGTACCACCTCAGGTATTTTCATATTTCATCTTGCTTTGAAACAACAAGTTGAAATTTTACACACTTCTTTGTAAGCATTACAGGATTCTCTCCAAGCCCTATATTATGGATTTGTAAAAAAAATTGGCCCTTTTGTGAACTTTGAAAATTTTACATTATTAAGGTTCTTTTACTATCAAGCACTTAGAATAGTTGAGCGTTGCTGTCCTACCGACAGCTCTTGTTATTGGAGAGCTCCCATGGCAGAGTAAGAGTTGTTGACAATATATATCATTGCCACGGGTTTGGTTTGAATATAATAGAGAGAACACTTAATGACATGCCATGGGTTGATTTATCATGACATTTCACAAGTTGATTATTCATGACAACTCTTGGGTTGAATTATCAGTGACAATTCTTAGTGGGTTGATTTGTCAGTGACAACGGTAACAACTTTTAAGTTGATTTGTCAGTGACAACGGTAACAACTTTTAAGTTGATTTGTCAGTGACAGCGGTTACAACTCTTGGGTTGATTTGTCAGTTACAGTGGTTACCACATTTTGGTTGATTTGTCAGTGACAAGTCTTGGGTTGATTTATCAGTAACAACCCTTGGGTTTATTTGACGTAGCTTTTGTTTACCTTCATATTATACCGCTATGCAATATTATTGTAAATCCCCTTTACAGTGAACAATTCTAATTGATATACAAAGAGTTATTGTCCTTGAAAATCAAATGACTTAAAATCAAAAGTACTGCAGTTGTCCTACAGTTTGGATGTAAAAAAAAGAAAGAACTGTCCGATTTATTCTTGGAAGTTTATTCAACAGTACAAAAAGACATCAACTTTTACCAATAATTTAACATAGACTTAACAATACGCTTAGTGCCTTTGTTGATTCTTCATTTCATTTATAAATATTTACAAACTTAGCATAATTAAAGCTCTCTTTGTTTAAATATTTACATATAACTTTCTATAAACACAATTATGTACAATTTATATACAAAACATTTTTTGTCAAACAAGAAACCTTTGTGACAGTTTATGGGCAATTGAAAAATACGACTTGAAGATTTTTTTATCATCTGTCTTCAAAATTCCATGCAAATCTTTTTGAATCATCACTAAACATCGATTTTCATGTCGGTCTAAAGATGCCATGTAAATCTTTAGGAAATCTGGGAACTCCGAAGTCGGCCCTGGCAATTTCCTGCATACTGCGAGCATCCAATATAAGCAGGAATGCATTAGCTCCGCCTTTCTCATCGAAATCTGTACGGCTTACTGCAGACAAGAGTACACCTGATGAAAATAAAATGGGCATTTAAAGTGTTCTAATACTGAAATACCTCATAAGCATTATCAGGGTTAAATTTCCTGAATTTCAGGTTTTTAATACTCTGTTGGAAATCACATAATATTTTGCTCTTATTTGAGTAATTGATTAAGGTTATTGGCTTAAAATCAGTCCTGTATGTGCCCCCTACATGCCCTAGTTGCTAGAACTGAAAGAGAGTAGACCTTTGCCACCAAAATAAGGCCAGTCTCATTGTATTGATCACAGTTACCTTAACCTTTGACTTAGTGACCTTGAAATTAAGAAAGGTCATCTTCAGGTTATGTCCAACTAAATCTGAGGACTCACAGTAGCCCAAAGCATTCTCTAGTTATAGATTGTGCAGGTGTTTTATGGGTAGAAACAGAGTGACCTTTTGACCTCAAAATCACTAAAGGTCATTTATAGGTCAAGACTAACCTACAATCCAAACAAGGACTGTATGCTAAAGTTTTCAATATGACCAGCTTTATGCAGACAATGTGACCTTGACCTTTGGCTTTAAAATCAATACAGGTCATGTCAAAGGCCCAGATATTTTCTAGTAATTGATCTACTGAATGACCAACATTTACATTGCAGTATACCCCCGTTCTTTTCAACAGTAAACGTCATAAAAATATAGTTAACTAACCATCATCTTCTGTGGTTGATTCTGGTCTTGGTACAAACACAGGCTCTGTTGGGAAACAATTTTCACATTTCCATTGTTTGTAGGAGTTAGTTTCTGTGTCAATTTTCACTAGCTATAACGGAAAATAGAAATTATTTTTTTGTACACTTGATAAATGTAGAATATTACAGTGAAACCTCTGCAGAGACACCCTTTGTAGAACAATGACCTCTTTACAACAATAGTATCAAATCTTCCCAAAATAAGATTAAACACCAATAACCAAAATCTTTGCCTTTAAGGGGTGTTGCTCTGCACAGGTTGTTCTGTACTACAGTTTCACTGTATGAATAACTTTTAATGTTTCAGATGAAAAAGTCCACATCACAAAAAAAGTATTTCATGTTTTGCATATCACAACTTGTCACATTACAAAATTCAATGTGTATTAAATAATAATATATACATGTAATATTTATAAAGAAACAAAAATTGTCTAAGGAGCAGCACATTCCACTTTTCTTGATGCTGAATGGAATGTTTAAAGCCATTGAGAAAAGGGGGCGTATATCTAAAAAAATGCTTGGCAGAATAACCTGCCTTATATCAATACAAGTTTCCGTCAAAATATTCAGCAATGTTTTATTTTTTTTACTTTTTTCTACTGTAACACAATAGGTTTTGTAATGCAATGTGGTATCTAAAAGTTCAGCGAATATTTTTTTTTACTGTCTTCTTTTTTTTTTTTGGAAAACAATGGGAAATTTTTATATGGTATCTAAAAATTCATTTATTTTATAAATGCTTTTTCTGTAACACGCTGGGAAATTTTTTATATTGTTCTGAAAAAATCAGCTTTTTGTACTGTTTTTTTTTTCTGTAACACAATGGGGAAATTTTTAATATTTAGCTAAAAAAATTGGGAAAATTATTAATAATTTATCAAATATTTAAATAACAATCTTCTAAGCCTCCAATTAAATAGATGAAAACAAAAAAAGCCTCTATATATTTGGACAAGTATACTATTAATACATTTGTATAATTTTATATGTGTGAAAATAACTTTATTGCTTGTTTTGACTTTTAATTCCCATGCATAAAACGCAAAAATAAATTTTGTCACATTAGCGTACCACATAATTTTTGTCCCCAAATCACATGATTTATCAATGTCATAGTTTTTGTTTGCCAACATTCCTTCATTTACATCTTAACTTACATAAAATAACTTTAATATGTTAAACAATATTTAAATGTCCCTTTTGTTTTATCAACAAAAACATTGCAACATATTTGATTATGGTAATTTTGCCCATTAAAATTCTAAAATTAACATATTAAAATTGTGATGATTTATGATTTGCATTTCTGTGTCATATGATATGTCAGTTAATCATAATGCAGATGATCTTATGAAATAATTCTTTTTGTGAAACAGATTACCAACAAAAATATGTTATGTAACCACATGACAGTGTTTTTTGTCTTAAACCTTCAGTGTGTTGCTTGCAACTTTCTCAGTGTGTTGCTTGCAACTTTCTCTACCTATGCAACCACTATAGACATGACATAAAAAATGGCCATACTAACGACCCCCCTTCCCACCCCCTGGAGCAAAAATTTGCAGCATAGATAGGGAATGAATTTCAAAATTTTTAGCAAAGAAAGCATGTCATAACTACGTAGTTTTTAATTACATTACCTTTTTTTATAGAAAATGTTTTAATAATGCAGGAGTACAGGAAATGTCTGCCCTTCAAATAGTATGAGAGGTGGCGGGGGGGGGGGGCAAATTTTCACCCTTCTAAAACAGGATGAGAGGGCAAATGTCTGCCTCATTGACAAACTAGAACTCTGTGGGTCTGATGTGTCGCTTTGTAAACAGTATAGCTCTGTCACTTAGGCATTATATTCTTCTTAAATATATGTTATTTATAAACACCACTCTTATAATGTACATGTACCTTGAACTTTAGTGGCATTTGAACTAATTCTAGCTTGAATAGCTTTTACTGTGTAGGAGAATTGGCCCGAACAAAAAGAAAGTAAAATAATTAACAAAGGGCAATAACTCTAAAATCATGAAGTATAGAGTGCTGGTTCTTGTGTACTGCTCTTCTTCCAATAAGATCTATCATCCTATGAAGTTTCACTTAGTCCATAGCTTTTATAGTTTAGGTGAAATAGCTGGGACAACAATAAAGTATTTTTAATCTACAAAGGGCAATAACTCTAAAATCATTAAGTACATTGTGCCAGTTTTGTACACTGCACTTCTGATGACGTTTCAAGTCCATAGCTTTTATAGTTCAGGAGAAATGGCCGCGGACAAAAATAAAGTATGAAAATTAACCAAGGGCAATAACTCAAAAAATAAGTGCAGAGTGCTGGTTCTTGTGCGTTGCACTTCTTATTAATCAGATCTATCATCCTTCTGAGTTTGAAGTCCATAGCTTTTATAGTTTAGGAGAAATGGCCCGGACAAAAATAAAGTATGAAAATTAACAAAGGACAATAACTCAAAAATTAAGAAGCGCAGAGTAACGATTTTTGTTCACTGCACTTCGGGTCATTGAAAGAAGCATGCATACTAAGATTAGAGTCAATCCGACTTAGAGTGACAGAGTTATGCTCTGGACAAGCCTTTTGGAACGCCGACAACAACGTTGACAACAAAAGTAACCCCTATAAGTTATGTTGCCTTTTCAAGGTGGCAGCCTTTTCAAGGCGGCACAAAAAGAAGCTATTTCCAAGAGAACATAAAGCTGTAACAAATGAAGATCATGATTTCATTTTATCTATGAATCATTGGCCTAGCTTTTAATCTCATATTCAAACCTGACCCCAATATGAAGAAAACACTCGGTACATTAGTGTTATGAAAATTTGATCAAAAGTGTAATCATCAGACAAGGTTTTCCTGGCAACTGCCCTGACTTTTAGCTTTGCTCATTAGTTTATACAAATTCATTTTAGTTCTATTTTGTTGGAAACTATAAGTTTATTGAAACACTTGTATCTGTTCCTGGAACAAACCGGTACTAAGCAATGAATGTAAAGTTTCTTGCTCAAGGAAAGAACAGCTGCTGAGCTGAGTTGCCCATGACAGGGTTTGAACCCACACGGTTAGTAATCCTTAGATTACTAGTCTGATGCGTTAACCACTCAGCCAAGCCGCAACTTTTGCTCATTCAAGGTATATTTTCTTCAACTCCTGATTGTATAAAAGTTTAATGGAATTTCCTATTAAAATTTATACATAGGACTTGAACAATCATATTGAAAATCAAAACATAGCACAGAATATTGTAAAATAATAACTTTGAAGGAAAGCCAGCTTACTGTATGGATAATGTCTGCCTTTGAATGCCAACCAACGCCATAAACATACCTGTACTTTTTAGTGTTGTAGTTACGATAATTTATCTGTGGAAATTCTATACCTGAAAACATTGAAGCATATTTTTAATGAAATAAGCCCAGAAAATTTAGAAATTATTTGACAACATCGGTATCTAGTGTATCTAAATTTGTTATGTCTATTATAAAGACTTTAACTACAAAGGAGAAGAGATGAAGTTTTATTTCATCTATTATAACTCAACACAGAAAACTGTTGCAAGTCGTTGTTTTCTTTCTTTATTAATTTTATCTATGATTTTTTTATTTATTTATTTATTTTTTTTTGGTTGAGGAGGGGGTGGTAATTTCAAGTAACACAGGCGCTATAAAAATATTAATGACTTATTGCGAAATTCCAAATTCATACTTTGAAACTGCCTCTCAATGCATATATCTCAAGAATAACAGAGCATCTGAGCTTGACTAGGGGCTGTGTAACCGCAAACCATCAGGAAGGAATGAAATGTTTACTCTTTAGATACCAAAATCTTAAATTTATGGCCAACACTACCATTCTAATATTTTCATACTGACAAAAAATGGAAATACTCATGAAAAGTTACGAAATCAAAGCTTGGAATCTCCCTTACACAAATTTAGCAGCACACAGGAAAAATATAAATATCTAAGAATATTTTGCCCTACCTATATCACAAAGTATTTCATGCGTCAGGAATACTGTTTTAGCGTCTCGTCTTTTTGCCGTGGCTTTTGTGTATGATAATGTGACAAGATTTGTGGCCGGAGTTGCCTGTAATTTTAAAAAAACATTATTTACATATTAACATTTCTTTGTTCATTTTTTTATATAATTATATATTTTCTATGTTTTTACTTCTTTTTAACACAAATCTCTTCCAGATATATATGATTTTAGAAGAATTTTAAGTGAAAAATGAATAAAATATTATCAAATGAGCACATAAAGAATAAGAAAAGTTAGTAGTAGGCAAATATATGGTGATTGAAACAGAAACGTAAATTCAGCCCAACTTTGCAAAAATTATGAAAAGAATTGCATGGATTGGAAATATTTATACATAGCTTGCATGGCTTAAACTCTTGAAACATTTTCCTGCCGTAATTTTATGTAAATATTGATTACACAATTCAAGATGTGCAGCTTAATGCCTAGAGTTTTTAGAGTTATACATACATTTACTTGTATACTTAAATTTGGTCTAATTTTGAGAGTTATGACATATATTTAATTGAATATTAACATTTGGTCTATTTTTGAGGGGAGCAATGGCCTAGTGGTTAAGGTGTCTGCCCCTCAACCCGTCTATCATGGGTTTGAGCCCTAATAGGGTCACGACCATGTTTCTTCATATGGCACCAGTACTGTTTCAGGTTCCAGGAAATGGACCCAAAAGTGATTGATATAAGTTGCAAGTACTTTGAAAGGAATGGCACAAAGTTAATTGAAAACATACATTTGACCTTATTTTGAGAGGCATCTCAGGATTATTTAAATGTATACTAACATTTGTTCTACTTTAGAGAGGTAACATGACATACAATGTAGGTTAAATTAATTATACAAATATTTGGTCCAATTTTGAGAGGTTTTACACAGAGTTAATTGAATAATAACATTTGGTTTAATTTTTAGAGGATTATCATAGAGTTTTTCATAGAGTTAATTGAATACAAACACTGATCAATTTTTGAGAAGTATGACATTGGTTTCATTGTATACTAACATTTGGTCTTATTTTGAGGGGTTTTACATAGAGTTAATTGAATACTTAAATTTGGTTTAATTTTAAGAGGTTTTACATAGAGTTAATTGAATACTCACATTTGGTATAATTTTGAGAGGTTTTACATGGAGTTAATTGAATACTAACATTTGGTCTAATTTTGAGAGGTTTTACATGGAGTTAATTGAATACTAACATTTGGTCTAATTTTGAGAGGTTTTACATAGAGTTAATTGAATACTTACATTTGGTTTAATTTTGAGACGTTTTACATACTAACATTTGGTTTAATTTTGAGACGTTTTACATAGAGTTAATTGAATACTAACATTTGGTTTAATTTTGAGAGGTATGACATATCGTCGAATTAAGGGGTCCTCAATCTTCCTGTGTTCTTTCTCGCACTGTTCTATTGTCAGGTTCTTCAGATACAGGTACTGTAAGACAGAGTCCTTCCTATATGCTATAATGTCAACCACTAGGTGTCCTGCAATGGTCAGTAACATATATCAGTAAAACATTATGTTTGGTTTGTCACAATCACTTTTGTACTTTTGAAATACTTATAATTACAAGCATATTCAAAGTCTATAAGATTTTTTTTTCATTTATTATATCAAGTGAAAAAAATGGGAAAATCTATTTGCCTATTTCTTTCTTTTTTTTGTTGTTTTGGTTTTGCTCAAAGACGTTTCCTGGAGTATAGCGCATTTTTATATTTTTATTTTTTTGAAAAAGCAAAGGAAGAAAATTCAAACTAACATAAATTGTTTCTCTTAAATCTTACAAAGTTAAAGAGAATCATAATTAAATTTTCTTTAAAAGAAGCAATTAAATTTTGTGGTCGGGATCCTACTTTTTGAGTTACCTGCCCCTGAAAGTTTGGCTCATTTAAGTCATTTTAAGTGTCAATATTTACTCAAAGCCGTAACTTGCAACACCTCATTTGATTCCAAATTTTTTGGCATAAACAGAGCTATTATTATATGACACAAACAGAGCTAATGTTATATGGCACAGAGCTAATATTATATGGCACAAACAGCGCAAATGTTATATGACATAAACAGAGCTTATGTTTTATGGCACAGAGCTAATGTTATATGGCACAAACAGTGCACGTGTTATATGGCACAAACAGCGCACATGCCATATGGCACAAACAGCACATGTGTTATATGGCACAAACAGCACACGTGTTATATGGCACAAACAGCGCACATGTTATATGGCACAAACAGCGCACATGTTATATGGCACAAACAGCGCACATGTTATATGACACAAACAGAGCTAATGTTATATGACACAAACAGAGCTAATGTTATATGACACAAATAGCTCTAATGTTAAATGGCACAAACAGAGCTAATGTTATATGACACACATCTTATATGTTATATTGCACAAATAGAGCTAATGTTATATGACACAAATGGAACTTATGTTATATGCAGGCTGTCCAGCACCTTCCGACATAAAATTAGGGTAAATTTTAGGGCAATATTTTAGAAATTTTAGGGCTAAAATTAGGAATTTTAGGGTGCACAAAAGAAATTTTACGGCTAAAATTTGGACTTTTATAACTAAACTTTGGCCTCAAAAGACCATGATATGGGCTGTAACCTTTGCATATTTGACACAAAAGTAACTCACAAATAATGCTCTAGTTTAGTTACAGCAAAAGTGTCTACCAGTGTTCAGTAGTCATCAGTGATAGTCAAACCATGTTCAAACCATATCTGAAATATGTTTTTTCAATGGTTGAACATGTCAAAAGAACATGTTCTACCTATGTTTTGGGAATGTTATAACCACAAGTGCTAAAAGGAATTCTTATACAGTGAAATTCATGCACATTGCATCTTTTGAATATGGACAAATCAAGTTTTTTTTATTACAAGTAGGAAAAGACATTTGCCCTAGTATAGTCATTTGAACAAATGAGAAACATCCGTAATCAACACACAGAATTGCACATCAAAAAAGTTCATCACACAGACCATTCAATTGCAGTTTATCTAGATTATATAATTGCAAATTGTATGTACATGGGATTTGGAAATGTGCTCTGTATTATTTATTGAACTGCCAAATTATTTTGAGTGAGATTTAATTATAGGAGCCTACCTTTTCCTGAATTGCTCCATATGAATAAAAAAAACAAGTATTATGGAATAAAATTGTAAACTTTGTGGCAAAATAAGCAATTTCTCCTGAAGAGGAAAGGATTAATAAGTATGAGGGAAAGAGTTTATTTTGCTAAGTCTACGTTAACACATGTAGTACTTTGCACTGTTGTTTTCAAATTATGCTTATTTAAATAAAAGAGTTGTAAGTAAACAAACTTGTACATTAATTTTGACAACTATTTCTATTTAACTAAGACTGTGATACAACAGCTTCATAATGATCATTTTGAAATATGATATGATATACATCAACCACTTTAGCCATTTGGAAAAAAAGAACAAACATTAAATTCAAGATATCATTAGTTGGCAAAACAGAGTCAAAATATTCCAGAATAAGTGGACATATTATGGTTATGATTTAAGTTTAGGACCATGATATGGTAGTGTTTTTGCTGTTAACTGTCAACATGGTCCTATCAATTACTGTTTTGATTATGAAACAGCAATGTTATGGACATAGCAAAAGTATAGTATATATAAAAGATAAAAATTAGGAATTTCAGTGAAAAAATAGGGCATTTTTAGGAATTCCCTTGGAATTTTTCATTTTTTTAGGAATTTTAGCCAAACTGAAAAAAATTAGGAATTTTTAGGAATTTTAGGGACGCTGGACAGCCTGTATATGACAAAGATCAAATGTTATACGGCAGAAAGAGAGTTTATGTTATATGACAAAAACAGAGCTTATGTTATATGACAAAAATCTAATGTTATATGGCACCAACAGAGCTTATGTTATTTGACACAAACAGAGCTTAAGTATGTTATTTGACAAAAACAGAGCTCATGTTATATGACAAAAATCTAATGTTATATGGCACCAACAGAGCTTATGTTATTTGACAAAAACAGAGCTCATGTTATATGACAAAAACTGAGCATTATATCTTACCATTATCCTCAAATGTGTTTATATGATGCATAAACATAAACAATCCTGTTTCAAATCTTATGTTGGCATTTACTTCTGCTCCAGTTTTCTTGTCTACAATACGGAACCTTGGCTGACAACAAAAAAACAAACACTATACATATTTATTATAGTAAGTCTTTTATACAGAAATATAAGGATATTTTAATTTAATGTGACCATTATGGTATAATTAAGTATACTGAGCCTAAATAAAGAGTAATTACACTAAATATTATGAAAACTATATAATGTCAATTATTATGAATACTTACAGCTGAAATTCAGGAATGCAATATAATATCATTACATAACGGGAAAAGTTTACCAACCTTACTCTGTGGTTTCCACTCCAAAGAAGCCTCCTGTATTTTTGTAGATGCTATCTTTTTCATACTCATATGTAGAGGTTGTTCAATAAATACATAATAGTTTTCTGACATGCCAAAACTGAAAGGATAATTTTCAATTTCTTGTTTCAATAAAAGTATTACCCATTTACTGTCTGTGTCCACTTTGTCAAGTAAAGGTGACTGTAGTACAGACTACCCCGTTCCAAAAATAATGCTACTTAAACTAGAAAATGAATTTTTATAAATCTTAGTTTCAACTTTTAATCAAATCATAGAATGTCCAATTTTAACATATTATTAAATTGGTCACTGGTCATATATTTAAATACATTCTGATATAAATGTACATGTGCCAGTATTTTCCATCAAAATTATAATGTTATGGGAACAGTGACCTAGTGGTAAAAGTATATGCCTCTCAGCCAGAGAATCCTCAGGATTCAAGCCCTACTAGGTCCATGACCATGTTTTTCCATCCTCACATGACACCAGTGCTTGGGAATTCTAGGAATCGAATTTGTCAATAATTCGAATCAGCTTCAAACTTTCATGTTTGTCTGGTTAGATTTTAAGTCACATGGTAAGGGTCATACAATAACTTTTCAGCTGGACTGGTTGAACTTGAAGACCTCAGGTGCCTCTTCATGCATTATCACAGGCACCACCAGTAAGCACCAAAGTAAAACCACTGACATTTCATAACTTAGCTCAGAATAGCTTCACCGAATTCGACATTGGTAAAATTAAAAAAGCTTCAATGCAACTTTCATTTGTATCAATTTTGTTGTATTTAAGTCACACACATCTTGTATAGGTGAAACAGCTTTTTTCCAGCTTGAATGGTGAAAGGCAGACCTTCTCATGCCCCTTGGTGCAATAACACAGGCACCAGCAAGCATCAAAGTAAAACCACTCATATTTTGTAAGCTAGCTGAATAGCTTCATTATAAGTTCCTAACAGTATTCAAAAACACATCGATTGAAAGTTTGTGACCGTAACTAATTAACCACCAAGTACCCATTTCAAGATTTAATCATAATAATCAACCATAAAATTAATATGTTTAAACTAAAAATATATAATCAGAACCTGTGTAGGTAGTTTATATGCATTTTAGACTGCGAGGCCAATGAAGCTACAACTTGACCTTGTGGAAAATCATCATTTTTATCTGAAATTGAAAATTTAAAAAATTATATTTAGTGCATTTTGAAGCAGCATGCCTATTTTTTGTCAATCTTTATGAAAACTTTAAAACTGTTTTGATGAGCATAATTTGTCACCTTAGTGCAGTAATAGGTTAACTTATATAAAATTATAAAATTTTATAAGGAGTTAACCCATTACTGCACTAAGGTGACAAAATGTCATCAAGTGTAGAAATCAAGAAACTTTACTTGGCATAAATCGCTTATTATCCAAAGATTCTTAATCACCTATAACATTGTTTAAAGTATGCAGATATTACAGAAGTAATGTCAATCAAAGTTTAAATGACACTCGTTACAGTATGCATAATGTTAAAGCCCAGATTGACAGGACAAGTGTTAAAGTAATTTAACTATCTGCTGACCTATGATGCAGGGACTTTATGAAATTGATACAGAGCTGAAACAAGAGTAATTTCCAATGCTACAAGAAGATACATTAATTACCTTTCTTAGGTGGTATTCGAACTAGGCATGTTTTTGGCCACCCCTGGTAGGTGTTACCAAGATTATGAATGGTACCGTCAGGATCCCAGTGTGGATGAGCTGTCCCAGAGTTCACAGCCACGTAATCTTCCAATTTCACCTGAAAAAAATGCACTTGTTGGATTTAACCGACAAAATGGGATGTATGACCATCAGACCTGGGCGACCTCTCAAACACTTTATTTATTGTTTTTGTTGATCAATCAGTTGCTTTTTTATTAACTATCAATAAACTCATTTACCTTAATTAAGACTTTATAAGAGTCTTGTGAAGAACTTTCATTGATTACAGCAATTTTAGCATACGTAATCAATTTTACACAACGGAATTTAATCTTTCTTTTTATCAAGAGACATATCCAAAAATTAGCACTCTTTAATTAATAAAAATAGATAAGGTGCCCTCAGTATATATATACCACTCTCAAACCAAACTTTTCCATATGCCTGCACAATACAATTATGAAAATTAAAGTAGCATACTTGTAAATTAGCATTCATATACATGTACATCTATACATGTAAATAATATCTCTTTAATAACGTTCTTGGTCTTTAATAAACAGTATTATCGTATTCTAATATGTATATTTACCTTCTCTAACCGGTCCAGGGTATCTGGATCTATTCTGTTAATGAAATTTCTCTCCGTGGCTGCATAAAGTTCATCTTTAAACGGAAAAAAACTCACATTAGTGTTGTCAGTGGAATCATCCATCTCAAAATGACTCAGCTGCCTGCATGAAATACATCAAAATCATCAGTAAAATATCATATCAAACCAGTCTAAAGTATCCTTTACTCCCATTGGTCAAGCCAAATTTAAATTTTAAATTTCGACCAATGAGAAGAGTTCATTATGAGACTGGTTTTATGTCCTGCTATGCCAACAATACTGAACATAGAAAATTCTCTTTTTGAAGAAAATACTTATTGGATAAACCATGGACTATTGCATGTATTACATTATAGTGGCTCAATTTTTTAAACCTGAAAAATGTACTAATGTTTCTTTATAGTTGTCTCTTGTAGCCATTACAATATAAGTGACATAGTGTGTAATATATTTTCCAGGATAAACATTCTACAGTGCAACCTTCACAAAACATCCACTTGTAGACCGATTACCTGATTACAACAACAGTATATGCATAACTACGCGTGAATTCAAGAAGTTGAATTCGTGGAGTTGAAATCGTGAATTCATGAAGTTGAAATCGTGAATTCATGAAGTTGAACTCGTGAATTCATGAAGTTGAACTCGTGAAATCGTGAATTCACGAAGTTGAACTAGTGAATTCACGAAGTTGAATTTCGTGAAGTTGAAATCATGAATTCATGAAGTTGAAATCGTGAATTCGTGAAGTTGAAATGGCCCGACCGGACTTTCGTATTATCCGGAGGAAAATACTGTTACCCAAGACGTTAGCTACTATAGGGTAGTGGGAGATGTTTTCCACATAGTAACAATTGCCTACACTATTCCTGTTTAAATATTTGAAGAAAAAAAAAACAAACAAAACGTTGACACACATTCTAACATTCAATAATGTCATAATCAGGATTTTTAATTAAACTAACCTCTTAAAACTGTTGATACAGGGATCCGGTGTACCGACTGTACCGAACTCATGTACCACAATCCGTTTTGCTTCCATAGCTTTCGTGTAGGCATCACTATGTAAATATCGGCACTGATATGATGCCTTCTTGTCACCTTAATAAAGATACATGTTTTTTCCATAAATATTTTAATTTGAAAAAAAAATCTATATTAAACCTTGCCAATGTTATGCTTTCAAAATAATATTACTATGATCATTATAAAGACTTTCAAAGAAATAAGAAGAATTTACAATACATGCATTCGATCATTATCCTTACAAGCAGCTTTTAATGAATCTTAGTAGAAATACAGTTAAATACTAATACAATAGATATTTTTGTAAAATGAAGCCATTTGATTAGTTTACACATCATTATTGTATAACTTGCCTAATATCAAAAATTCTCACAAATGTAGAAATCAAGGGTTATCTTTATTTCTTTTGTAACATTACCCATGAGCTATTTAAATCGCGAAAATTTGAGCTTAAAGGCCCATTATGCCACATACATGCTATCATTTCTATTTCTATAAAAAAAACTCATTTGCTATATACATGATCTATATCTGTCGCTGATTTTGTTATGTCGGCAATTGGTGTAAATATTGTGAATAAGTTTTCGTATGGAAATCAAAATATTACTTTGTTTACAGTTTGCTACCTTTAACACAATACTATAAAATGTATTTACTTCATAATAAATTAAACCTCTGTTCAGCAAACACCTGTCTCAGACATAACCAAAAATCTTTGCATCCTAAAGGTGTTGCTCTGTCGAGGTTATACTGTATTTGAATTGGGAAATTTAAGCTAACTTGGTAACATTGACAAAACTATTAAAGCATTCATTTTTTTTTTGCAGATACATGTACACATAATTAAATTAATAAGTTTTTTCATAAAAACTTGGTGCCTAAAAAGTTGAGCTGGTTAGAAGAAATCTTATATAAATTATATAATTTTGGGTAATGTTCAAGACTTAATTGGGATTTTTTTACAGTTTTGTCACTTGGGAAAAGGCTTAAATTTTACAACCTATACTTTGTGCACAAAATACTAGTAGGAATCGACTTTCAACAATATTATAATTGTCTCTTTCGTTTGTTTGTTTGTTTCGTCCCAACAGTATTTAAGTCATATAGGCGTATCTCTCTTGAAATAACTTAAAATACAAACTTATAATGAAAATAACTTTAAATACAAACTTATAATGAAAACAACTTTAAATACAAACTTATAATGAAAATAACTTTAAATACAAACTTACAATGAAAATAATACAAACTTATAATGAAAATAACTTTAAATACAAACTTATAATGAAAATAACTTTAAATACAAACTATGAAAATAACTTTAAATACAAACTTATAATGAAAACAATTTTAAATGAAAATGAAAATCGGTGGAAATTAGCTTTTTAATTTGTTTATATGCAGTACACTGTAATGTTGAAATAGAAGTGTCAATTTATTATCTGAAAATGGAAATCTGTGGAATTTAGCTCTGCAAGAATGTTGAAATAATAAAAGTGTCAATTTATTATCAGCCCATTCTTTCACTTACGAATTCTGAAGCACTGCAACATGGCCAAAGGATCGAGCCAGTGTTTGTATTTGTCCTCCCCGACCTCGTACATGCCCGGCCCATTTCTGTACAAACTTCCACATAACCATCCTGGTATATCCCCTGTAAACAAATGTTTAAAGGTAATCTGATAAATTCCCTGTAAATAAATGTTATCAAAAAAAGGATGCTATTTTTTTTCATTTTTTTTTTTTTTTTTTTGGGGGGGGGGGGGTTGGGGCCATTAAGTTAGACTCAGGGACACATTTCTAGAATCCTAGATGGAAGTCTACCACAATGTTGACTGTGAATAATGGTTGTACAAAAACAGTAATGAAATGAGCCGCGTCACGACAAAACCAACATAGTGCGTTTGCGACCAGCATGGATCCAGACCAGCCTGCGCATCCGCGCAGTCTGCTCAGGATCCATGCTGTTCGCTTCCCAACTCTATTACAAGTAGAGAAACTGATAGCGAACAGCATGGATCCTGATCAGACTGCACGGATGCGCAAGCTGGTCTGGATTCATGCTGGTCGCAAACCCATTATGTTGGTTTTGTCATGACGCGGCTCAAATAAATTCTTGTCCTCCTTTATAACAACTGATCTGGCCGTATAAACTTAACTAATTTTCTGTTTAAATGTATGGTCCGACCAATTTCATGGATGGACATGATTTTTCAGCGTATTAACCTGTTATACTTTGGTAATTAACACAGTTTCTATAAAAGCTATTTATGTCTCGATCTATCTTCATGACAAATATAATTAATCAAGCAGGAAAAAGACTTTGCGTACTTTATATGTACTATATCATATGTACTATATAAAAGACAACTGACCAGGCAAAAGTAAAACAATGCCCCGGTGACCTATGAACAGCGATGTTTTGACATTGTCAATAAATCATGCAATCATTTTTTTTTATTTACACACTAATCACTTGTCAATTACACTGAAATTTATGTACTTATAATTGTTTTGAGCTTATGTGGAAAAATTCAGTGATGACAATTAACCCAAAGCATCACAAGCTTATATTTTGAGCCAAAAGTAGGGCATTGCATTTCACTGGTCAATGAGCACATAAAAGTACAGAAAGCAGTAACAAGGAGGAGGTTTAAGCTCTGAACAGGATTGTTTGTGCTAGCAAAAGGCGACGCTATTCATGTTGTCTCTTGGTTCTCATGCACCCAGGTTCCGAACTGATTTATATTACATCATATGAATCCGTGTTTATGTAAACCATAAGAGGAATGGGCCACAGATCTTTACATGATCAGAAATATGCTACAATGCCCCAATTTGCAGTTACCCGTTTCCGAGCACCTGTAGACACTTGGGTGTCAGACACTATCCCCCCTCCTGAACTGCCCATGTCAACGGTCAATAATTTTTTTACCACACATGGGGAATCTGTCTTCATCAATAAAATTAATTTTTAAACCATTCGCATATGATAAAAATGCAAACAAGAGGGCCATGATGGCCCTGAAATCGCTCACCTGTATATAGGCCCACATGACGTGGCCAATTTTAACCCAAGGGCTTTTATTTGTACAAACTTGGTAGACACCCATTAGATGTTTCATGCTAAATATCTTAGCTCTAGCTCTTTTGGGTTTTTAATAGAAGATTTTTTAAGTTTTTACTAAATATACTTAAAGGGAAAAACATGACCCCCTGGCGCGGAGCCAATTTTGACCCAAGGTCTTTTATTTGAATAAACTAGGTAGTCACCCACTAGAAGATGTTTCATGATAAATATCTAAGCTCTAGCTATTTTTAAAGAAGAAATTTTAAGTTTTTATTTACAAATAATGGTAGCGAAATTTCAGACTCTAATGCTGTTAATTGCAAGTGCCGAAAGTAGTCCGCTTTTTTGAAGCGATTACTTCCCTATATATGTAACACTTAGGCCGAAAAAATTAGGGGAGATCATTGCGTCAATATGGCCACATGACAGGCGGATTAATTTTCAAGCAAAATAATTCCCGAATGGTCGAAGATTTCTAATATTGTTTTATTCTTTGTAAATATACATGCTTATAGTAAGCGCCATGATTATTTACACAAGTGTTAAAACAACAGTTAGCGTCGTTACAAACCCTAAATAGAATAATATGGTTTTCTTCAGGCCGTTAACATATAAATGCACCGTGGCCGAGCGGTTAGCGCAATTACGGCAATTCATTTTTTTTTCAAATTGTTTAAGTCAAATAAACTTTGGATCGAATATCAGTGTTGCAATTAGTCTTATAGCCAATCTACTACAATTAAAACGCTGGAAAGCATTGGTAGCACTATACAAAAACAAATTGTTTTATATCACAACCTTCACCTTTCTGATATTCTGCGCCTCCTGTGCTTTGATTTCTTTTTGTTGCCATGGTAACCAGAGTTCTGCAGGGAATTAATTTTTTTGAAGAATTTTTAAAGTTGACTACCAAAGGAACATTCATGTGAAGTTTGGATGAAATTGGCTCAGCGGTTTATGAGGAGATGTCGTTTAAAGTAAAAGTTTATGACGGACGCCGGACGGACGCCGGACGAAAAGCGATCACAAAAATTCACTATGTCACTATGTGACAGGTGAGCTAAAAACATGTACCGTCTGACAAGCCTAAAAAAACAACATTTTTTAGACTGAACGGTACCATGGAGTTAAATATAGTACTTATGTTTATCTGTGACTGTACATGCTTGTGGAAATGTGATTAAGAGGACCCCATTTACTTTACTTTACTTTATCCAGCGTATCCAGCGTAAGGTCGCAAGATCAGAAATCTCTTATAACCCCCTCAAGGTCTGACACCCAATAATTATTTTCCGGTACGGCAGTATATAATTTGTTTCTCATTACTTTATCAGGTCTGTTTTTTAACGAATTAAGCGTTGGTGAACATACCTACGGTGGCACAAAGGTGACATGTGTGTGTTTTTATTTATCTCGTGGCCACTAGATACTATGTCGTGGCCACGAGATACTATGTCGTGGCCACAAGTTGCTAAGTCGAGGCCACGAGATAGCTAAGACGAGATAGCTAAGTCGTGGCCACGAGTTACTAAGTCGTGGCTTAGTAACTCGTGGCCACGACATAGTATCTCGTGGCCACGACTTAGCTATCTCGTGGCCACGACTTGGTAACTCATGGCCACGACATAGTATCTCGTGGCCACGACATAGTATCCCGTGGCCACTACTTAGCTATCTCGTGGCCACAACTTAGTAACTCGTGGCCAAACATAGTATCTCGTGGCCACGACTTAGTAACTAGTGGCCACGACTTAGCTATCTCTTGGCCACGACTTAGTAACTCGTGGCCACGACATAGTATCTCGTGGCCACGACTTAGCTATCTTGTGGCCACGACTTAGTAACTTATGGCCACGACTTAGTAACTCGTGGCCACGACATAGTATCTAGTGGCCACGAGATAAATAAAAACACACACATGTCACCTTTGTGCCACCGTACATACCACAGTATCTGGTAATCTATTCCATTCTGGTACTACTCTTAATGAGAAGAAATGTTTTCTTATTTCCTTTTTACATGTTTTTGTTTTCAACTTTGTTCAAAACGTTAAAACATTTTTTATTGATCGTTTGTACTGAACTAAAGAAAAAGTAATGAACATTATAATATTATATCGATCTATACCCCCAGTTTTAGACCCTGGGGTCTATTCTAGGATATAGCACACGACCCCGCGTTATTTATGTGGTTTAGCTTGTATTTACACTAAAAGCAAATGGGGTTTCGAAAAAAGGGAGTTAATTTTGAAAAAGGGGAATAAACATCTGAGTAGGTAAGAAATGAAATAGCTCAATCTTAAACCTGGCACATGTTTTGTCCCAGATTAAACATAAAATTTGAAATTATTGTATGGATCAACTTGGGTACTTAAAATCAAAAATTATGGTAATGATTACAAAGAAGAATTAAATTTAAAATCGGACTACAGTAACGTTATTTTTAGTCAGATTTGAGTAACGCTTTTCATTTTCAGGTCAATTTGCGCAATGAAAATGATTATTCTGGAAAAACGAATTATCTGCAAAGTGCAAGTTATTTGTGAAGACCTAAGCCTATTAATTGCGCCATTTTCTAATTTAAATGTTGAATTCTGCTTAAGCCGGTGCAAGGGGATGGGACGTTGTTTGCACTTCACAGTGCCGTCCATGAACAGGGTGAATCAAACCGAGCATGCATCATTTTAAATTTTTAATATCTCTTTTTTTAGCCACGGCAAATGGTACAAGTCCACATGCGTTCGGCACATTTGTGTTGCCAATAATGGTCAATTTATCATAAAATTACCTCCCCTTGATCATCATGAACAAAATTAAGTATCAATCATTGTTTACTATATACATATGTTTATACCGTATGCTGGATTGTTAAAGTGCAATATCTAAACAGAAACCTATGGAAGAAATAAAATCTGGACTGTCTACTGTAATTATATTGGTCTGCAGCCAAGGCAGATCAGAAATCTCACGTGAAATATAGCATGTTTATAGGCACTATGAAATTCATTACTGTGCGCTTTGTCTTAGAACTGTTTGTTGAACCTGTAATCATGCTGAGTTTCCCAGCCTCCTCATTTTGAAACTGTTCGTTATCAAATAAAAAACTATACATCAGTCAAACATATATATAGGCTGGCTGGGTCTGTTCAGACTGCATGGTTGTTTGTTTGTTTCATTTTACGCCTTTTCCCAACAGTATTTCAGTCATATATAGGCGGGTAGTGTTTCCGAACCATCGTTCCTGGATAGAAACACCAGTACAAGACTACCTTCCTCCGCGCTAAACTACCAAAGCATCTCCTGGGGATCGAACCCACGCAAGAGAGGTAACTGGATTAGAAGTCATCGACTCTAACCCCTCGACCACGGAACCGGTTAACTGCGCAGACTCCCGGACTATTTAAATACTGGTGTCAAAGGCCGATCATTCGGTTCATTATCGGGGTAAAGAATGTCTCCAAGGATTCAAATTAGTTGTCACTGTCAGCAAAATATGTCCTCAAAAATAATCGAGAGTTTCCAAAAAAGAAAAAAAAAAAAAAAAAAAAAAAAAAATTAGGCTTGGCAAAAACTTGATTAATTCACATACCTATGACTGTTCCATCAACTGGGGTTTTATATTCCTCGTGAATAGTTTGGAAAAGTTTGTGCATTGCGAGTTGTATTAGTCCTTGTTAAAATAAACTGAAACAAACCGACTCGTCAAGAATAACGTCCGAACGTTTAACGTAACGCGTTGTACTTTACAAAGATAAATTCATTCCATTCAGCTGACTTGTCACGCGATAGTTGTACTGTCAAATGAAAATCACATGATCCGTTTATAAAACAAGAACTTACTGACAGTTTGATTGACGTAATAAATTACTGCGCGCATTAAACGTAATGAGTTATATGAAATAACGTTGTTTAACGTAGCGGACCAACAGCAATCTCCCGTGGGGAAAAACTAAAGAACATTACGTTAAATATTGACATGTTTGATAAAAATTTAATTTTCTCATACTATATGGATTACGTGAGAAAACAGTTCCCTGAAATAATTCCACGCGCTATTTCTTTCTTTAAAAGGTGTGCACATTACTGACACGTTACGTAACGTCATATATAGTTTTGTGCTTTATACATGTAGATGAAATTGAGGGGAATGTTCCTATTTACGTGGGGTCGTCATAAATTAGCAGCCAATAATAAAAATATGACCAGACAGACATATTTGACGACTGCTAAATTTAACTCTTCAATTCCGGTGGTAAAATTATACGGAAAAAACAACACAAAACAACAACAACAAACGATAATTGACGTAGTCTTGAACTCAGTAACGTTTTCGGAACATAAAAGCCTATACCACGTGATTTTTGTTTTTTGATATTTTTTATCTGTGTGGGGAAGCAAACCAATAGTAAAGTCCTTCCAAGATTTATTTTCCTCGTTGACATTTTAATTCCAAATTCCTATATTTATAATGATTTAAAGTGTAGAGCCCTTACATTCAAGTCAGTTAACCATATGTAGAATGTCGGGTGTGTTTTGTCGTTTGTTTGTTTTTTGTTGTTTTTTTTTCTTTCTTTTTTCTCTTGCTTCTGTTATATTTTCAATATTTTTGTCAATGGAAACAGCATGAATTTCTGATTTTCCAAACACGCGTTACACTTTCTGTTACTTTCTGAGAAAAATCGTTTTGCTCAGTTTTTTTTCTTTCTTTTTCTTTCTTTCTTTTTTTGAAGTGTACAGGTTATTGATTAGAATGAGCAAGCTCTACACTATATTTCGTCTATTTTTTGTGTAAAATATGGCGTTACGGTAAGAAAAGTCTATAATTATTCTCACCTTCACTTAGATTTCAAAAAAGTTGAGTTGTCAGCTTTTGGCTCGAGACTTTTTCAAGCCGTACAATTGGTTCAAGTTTTTGGGAACAACGGAATGCATTCGTTGTTACGCGTATTAAAACAGCACGCCTTCAGATTCATGCTAATTTTCATGAAAAATTTAAAAAAGTATTTAAAAGTATATTATTGTGAAGTAACCAAAAGAAAGCAATTCACAAATTATAAATGACACTCGTAATGTTCGTAAACTATCTAAAACAGGTCAAAACATGCAAAAATAGCTCTTAAGTACTGCGTTAGTAACGCAGTAGAAATATAGTTGTAAATACTGAAAAATCAGTAACATAAGAATTATTACTTGAATCTCGAATCTTACACCTTTCCTAAAATCTTAGTACATGTTTCTCAAATTTGATTTTTAAAAAATATTTCGGCTCATTTGGAGGCATGTAGCTTTTATATGGACACTGTTCAACCTAGCAATTGACGTTTTATGCCGTGACTTCCGTGGACATTTAGGTCTTTATTGAACTTTACCTACTCGTACATATTATCATAACTATACTTATCTCAGTCAGATCATTGCATCATGACGTATTGTAAAAGTACATCAAACTTGGGGAAATAATATGAATGTTGTAAGTGTACTTAGATCTACGGACTTTTTAGGGATCGCTAGGCATACCCTTAAAGGCACATTATGCCTAAAAAAACAAATAATTTTTTTAAAGGCACATTAAGAGCAAACATAAATTTATATAGAAATAATGGTTTTAGAGAGTGTTAGATGCTTGTAAGTTGTAACCTGAAGATGTGAAATACAAATGTAATTTGTCATAGAAGAAGCGGGAATTTTAAACAAAATTTTTTTTTTTGGATTTTTCCCATACAAGTTTACTTTTTAAACTATAACTTACTTTTTGCCAAAAACTAACAAATGAATAAGATGATTCACATAAATGGCCAATGCCATAAAAGACAAACAACATTAAAAAGCTTTTGAGAATTTAAAATAAAGCATTTCTGAGACATGATGGACCTTTAAAGAGTAAAGGTGACCAATATGTACACCCTATATGTCTTTATCCTTTTCTAAATTTTGATTTTGCAAGTAGTGCCACTAGATATTTTCAAAGGACTCTTCATAGAATTAATTAATGGTAAAAAAAGGACAATTCTGGCATACATTAGATATTTGAGCCGCGTCACGACAACACCAACATAGTGCGTTTGCGACCAACATGGATCCAGACCAGCCTGCGCATCCGCGCAGTCTGATCAGGATCCATGCTGTACGCTATCAGTTTCTCTACTTGTCATAGGGCTTGTAAGCGAACAGCATGGATGCACTAGCTGATCTGGATCCATGCTGGTCGCAAACCCATTATGTTGGTTTTGTCATGGCGCGGCTCAATTTTGTATTACGGTTGAACCTATGATTGTCTCACTTTTTTAAAGCTACATGCCTCCAGATGAACCTAAAATCAAACTTGAGAGAAATGTTCTAAGAGTTTAAGAAAGGTATAAAGGTTTAAGATTCAAGTAATAATTTACATGTTATGTGCGATTAAAGACTGAATTTTCAATATTTTTGTCAATGGAAACAGCATGAATTTCTGATTTTCCAAACACGCGTTTACACTTTCTGACACTTTCTGAAAAAAACTTCGTTTTGCTCATTTTTTTTTTCTTTCTTTCTTTTTTTTTTATTATTATTTTTTTTTTTTTTGTAAAATATGGCATTACGGTAAGAAACGTCTATAATTATTCTCACTTTCATGTAGATGGGAACCCTTAAAGTCTGTGAAATTCAAAAAAGTTGAGTTGTCAGCTTTTGGCCCGAGACTTTTTCAAGCCGTACAATTGTTTCAAGTTTTTGGGAACAACGGAATGCATTCTTTGCTACGCGTATTAAAGCAGCACGCCTTCAGATTCATTCTAATTTTCATGAAAAATTTAAAAAGTATTTAAAAGTGTATTATTGTGAAGTAACCAAAAGAAAGCAATTTACACATTATAAATGACACTCGTAATGTTCGTAATCTGCCTGAAACAGGTCAAAACATGCAAAAATAGCTCTTAAGTACTGCGTTAGTAACGCGGTAGAAATATAGCTGTAAATACTGAAAAATCAGTAACATAAGAATTATTACTTTAATCTTGAATCTTACACCTTTAACTAAAATCTTAGTACATGTTTCTCAAATTTGATATTTAAAAAATATTTCGGCTCATTTGGAGGCATGTAGCTTTAATATGGACACAGTTCAACCTAGCAATTGACGTTTTATGCCGTGACTTCCGTGGACATTTAGGTCTTTATTGAACTTTACCTACTCGTACATATTATCATAACTATACTTATCTCAGTCAGATCATTGCATCATGACGTATTGTAAAAGTACATCAAACTTGGGGAAATAATATGAATGTTGTAAGTGTACTTAGATCTACGGACTTTTTAGGGATCGCTAGGCATACCCTTAAAGGCACATTATGCCTCAAAAAAACAAATAATTTTTTTAAAGGCACATTAAGAGCAAACATAAATTTCATATATAAATAATGGTTTTAGAGAGTGTTAGATGCTTGTAAGTTGTAACCTGAAGATGTGAAATACAAATGTAATTTGTCATAGAAGTAGCAAAATGTAAATAAAATAGTATTTTGACTTCCATACAAGATACTAATTCACTATAACTATACTTATTGCCAAAAACCTAACAGATGAAAAAGATGGTTCAGGTAATTGGCCAATGGATAACTTTTTGAATGCCATAAAAGAACCTCAACATTGAAAAAGCTTTTGAGATCTTAAAATAAAGCATTTCTGAGGCGTAATGGGCCTTAAAAGAGTAAAGGTAACCAAAATATAAAACCCTATATGTCTTTATCCTTTTCTAAATTTTGATTTTGTAAGTAATAATTGTACCACTAGATCTTTTCAAAGGATTCTTCATAGAATTAACTAATGGTAAAAAGGACAATTTTGGCCTACATTAGATATGAGCCGCGTCACGACAACACCAACACAGTGCGTTTGCGACCAGCATGGATCCAGACCAGTCTGTGCAGCCGCGCAGTCTGATCAGGATCCATGCTGTTCGCTATCAGTTTCTCTACTTGTCATAGGGCTTGTAAGCGAACAGCATGGATCCTGATCAGACTGCGCGGATGCGCAGGCTGGTCTGGATCCATGCTGGTCGCAAACCCATTATGTTGGTTTTGACATGGCGCAGCTCAATTTTGTATTACGGTTGAATCTATGATTGTCTCACTTTTTTTAAAGCTACATGCATTTAGATGAACCTTAAATCAAACTTGGGAGAAATGTTCTAATATTTTAAGAAAGGTTTAAAGGTTCAAGATTCAAGTAATAATTTACATGTTATGTGCGATTAAAGACTGAATTTGCAATATTTTTCACCGTATAATACTATTTTTCTACTGCGTGACTTATTTGCTTGGATTTAACCTGCCGATTGCAAAAATGTATAAATTAATTTCTTTGTTCACTTCATAATATTTTACTTTTAAATATTTTTTTCATAATTTTCATGAAAAATTAGCATGAATCTGGAGGCGTGTTACTTCAACAACCAGATCTAATGGGGGTTGTTGTTTTTCCCCCCAAAAAAAACAATGAGTGATGGTCAATTCATGTTCAGATATCTTTTAAATATGGCGCAAACTAATAATGCATAAAGCATGTCTTGTTTTAGTTTGTTGTTTTGTTTTTCAACTGTCAAACCTGGACATTTATAAATGGACTGGCACGTGTCAGGTGACATCCGTCGTCTGGTCAGAAATGGTCGTTTCTTAATTTCCTTTATAATTAATGATACGCATTATACCATGTATATTTTATATGTCAAGTTTGATGAAGTTTAAGAGGCAGATTAAGAATTTTAATAATAATTATAAAACATGTCATTTACTTAGCACTCTCCTAAAAGTTAAAAAAAAACCGCCATCGTGGTCCTATATAATTATATATTTTTATTATTAGCTATAAATTTTGACAGGTTATATGGCCCTATATAAACGGTTGCAAATTGCGGCTCTGGTCATATTTCAAACAAGCGTTTATTTTATGGTCAGATAATCTGCCAGGAATGTTATATCGAATTCATAATACAGCAAACTTCATTTTTAGAGATAAAAAAAATTTTTTTTTTCATAAATAGACAGCAGTTGTTTATATTATTAATTATAAAGATTTTTGAAAGGTTATGTGACCGTATATAAACGGTTGTTTGTAAATATAACCCGAACAGCTAGGCGATGGTTATATCGCAAACAACCGTTTATATACGGCCATATAACCTGTCAGAAATGTTTATAACGAATAAAGGACACTTTCTGAAATGAGGACACTTTGAAGTGGCTGAATTCCTCTCCATTTGCCGTTTACAAAAAGAATCGTCCAGTTGAACAATTGCTTGTTATGTTGATGCACAAGCAAATGTTCCCCCCTGAAAATATTTTTTGGATAGCGGGAGGAAATAAGCTGATATATATCCCTACCTGCACTACTGGATAAGGTCATTGCGACAATTTTGTTTGGCGCCAAAATGTCAATTGCCATGGTCCATTGCATTTCGATCACTTTATATACAGAGTAGATCTATGGCCTTTACATGTGGTTTGGAACTACAAAAGTGTTAAAGTCTCCACTATTGCACTTGGATGTGGGACATGGTAACATTTGACAAGTAATTTGGACGCCTGTGACATTTTCAAGTTTGCAACATTATATATAAACTTGTATACCATGGAGCTTAATATAATATATCTGTGAGTATACCAACCAACATGAACTTGTCAGAGAGAATGAGATGTTAAAAGTTTGATAGAAACAGGAACGTTCATTACGCAGTCTATAGCTAAAAATAAGATTTTTCTCAACCAACATATCGACTATTAATTATATCCGAACTTTGACGAAAATGGCCGTAAAGCGCACGCTTTCTTAGCACCATGATCGGTGCTTCGATTCAAACCAAACGTGCGATTCCCGGTGCTTCTGTTGTGCGTTAAATCTTAAAAAAAACGATTTAGAACAAGTTATCAAATATCAAAAAAAACAACAAAAAACTGTACTTCTACCTTTTATATTATGACAACGTGTGTATTTATCTATTCAACTCATAAGATTTTATTTTTTGAGAGATTAAAGTGCAAAACTCTAGGACATTGAAACAGTGTGTATCTTCATGGAGCTAACTAAAGAGTGTAATTAAAGTCCGTTATTCCATCTAGTTTTATGATCGAATATGATACTGTTTCTTGCCCATGATAAACGCTGCTACTGTAAAGTAATGCTTTCTGCTGAAAGTTTGGATATATTATATATAAGATGATATAAATGCTTGAAGCATTACAAAAATAGGCGGGGGAAAAGTCAATCGGAATACATCGGATATTATGCATAATAATATTATCCGAACATTGACGGAAGCGGTTTGGATAGCAAGTTAAGTTTGATAGGTTACGTCCCTCTATTGTAATGCAATCCGGTCAACTCGTCCCCTGGTCAACTCGTCCCCTGGTCAACTCGTCACCTTTTTGGTCAACTCGTCCCCTACTTTTGGTCAACTCGTCCTGAAAGAGTCAACTCGTCCCTAATATGGTCAACTCGTTTCCTACTTTCTATCTATTCGTCACTATTATGTTGTAAATCAATGTCTTTAAATAGTTCTTCTATGTAAAATTAATTATGAATTTGATTGATATCGAAATATTAATAAAATAACGTCTTTTTTACGTTAAATTTTAATGATCTTTATCTAAGCGCACGTGCATAGCTTTGATGAAAACTACAAAGACAGGTAAGTTTGCAAACATTCAATTAATGTTTAATTAATCGGAGTTTTAATGATTATTAATCCAACTCTTTGATTTTTACCGCCACCTGAATGATTTAAAGACTGACGACAGATTAACAGAATTTAGAAGTACTAAAAACATTATGTCGGTGCGTATCTCATTATCTCATTAAAGAAGGATCGTGTCAATTAAAAATATGATAATTGTTTCTTGTGAAATTGTCAATATAAAAGTTGCCCTGATAAATATAATACATTATACATTATATGTTATTGCTATTGATTGTCTTCGTGTCGGTTTTTTTTCTGTATGTAATTTAATCAGTATTATGCATATATATACTTATTATTAGATAAAAAAAAACTCCAAATATTCGCATACAAAAAGCGTCAAAATATGTCCAATTCAGTAATTTTATAATATATTATTTTAACAGTCTATAATAATGTATGAAATGTATGAAAAACAAATAATAATAAAATATAGGGGACGAGTTGGGGACGAGTTGACCAGGGAACGAGTTGTCCAAGGGACGAGTTGACCAAAAAGGTGACGAGTTGACCAGAGGACGAGTTGACCAGGGGACGAGTTGACTCTGAATCATTGTAATAACGCCAAAATAAACATTGTATATTTATCATGTTTATGGCTTGATATTAGAAAAAAACTGTCATCAAGGAAAGAACAATGCTTACAGCGGGCAGCTTGATCAGTTCAGAGTGGCCCAGTACTGCTGAAGGCAGAGATATGTTATCATGTCTCTTCACCAGAAACAAACAGCGACTGAGAACATTTGGTAAGATATAATTTCTGAAATCGTGCAATCAACTGTAGTAGACTGTAGTCCTAGCTTTATTAGATTTATCACTGGTTATAGTAAAAGTAAAATATTATTAGTCATGCAACTTACTGAGGGGATTTACAGGAGATTATTCCATAAATGAGATTAAAATAGAGGGGGGGTTTATTTTCCTTTCTTTCAAAAATTTAAAGCGACTTTGTCATTTGAGCTTATGGACTGAAAAGGTGGTTCTTACTAAAAGAAAATTTTTGTGGGCCCAAAACTCATCAGACTTGTCAAAGTGACATCAAGATAAGTTTTGCAGGGGATGTCTTGACAGTATGAGAAAAAAAAGCTTGTGAAATGGGTCAAACTGTTCTCGCCAAATTAATTAGGCTAAACAAGTAGTGGCATTTGCCTGTAATTTTCATGCATGAAGGGGCAACCTACATGTAGTTGTCACTCTTACAGTTTTGTTATGACTTAAAAGCTGGATGCCTCCAGATGAGCTAAAACATTTCAAGAAAATCAAGCTTGAGAAAAATGTACTAAAGTTTAAAGAAAAGTTAAAAAATCAAGATTTAAATAATAATTTGATACTGTTTGACTAATAAAGTAAGGGCTATATTTGCATATTTGGACTGCCTTTAGTGATTTACTATATTTGTAAATGCTAAAATTTTGCATTGTGTTAAAGACATTTACAAATAAATATTTAAACATTGTCACGGTTAATCATGAATATCAGGCTATTGTAACATTTAGTACAAGAATTAAGTAGAATTTAGCAGTGACTTGTCCTGCAAGACATAAGGATTGCTTTAAAAAAAGTTTTGCAATCCCTGGTTATAAACCAAACAAATGTAACAACATTTTTTTTAACATATATGTATTTATTTGTACAGGCCTTCTAGAAAGACCACCTTTATCAGCACATATTGAGGAAGCCAGATACAAGATATTACTATCGGGAAAAACTGGTGTTGGGAAAACCTGTACAGTTGCAAAGCTGACGGGTCATGACATACCAAAAACACATACAGAGACAGCAGGTATGGTTCTTATATAACAATCACTGTGGGTATGGTTCTCATTTAAATTTGATATTTTTAAGGCAGTTATGGTTCTTATAATTATATTGCAGGTATAGTTCTTATGACAAATACTGCAGGTTTGGTTGATACAACAAATACTGCACATATGGTGCTTACTATAAAATACTGCAGGTATGATTTTTGCTATTAAAACTACAGGTATGGTTCTTGCAATAATTACCGTAAGTATGGTTCTTGCAACAAATGCTGTATGTAGGTATGATTCTTATAACAAATACTGCAGGTATGGTTCTTATAACAAATACTGCAGGTATGGTTCTTATAACAAATACTGCAGGTATGGTTTTTACAACAAATACTTATAACAAATACTGTAGGTATGGTTCTTATAACAAATACTGCAGGTATGGTTTTTACAACAAATACTGTAGGTTTTTCAAATCACTGCAAACTTTTTTCATTGATTGTTGAAATTCATTAAATATTTGTGATATATAAAAACCAGGGAGATAAACTATTTGAATAAAAACTTATATAAGATCTATTCAAACAAAATGTTGTTTTATTCTCTTTTAGATCACATGCTATTGTTCAGCTGTCCGGGGGGAAAATATACCTAACAAAAAAAAAAATCTTAATGTTATTAGTACATCTGTTATTGTAAGTGGATTTACTGGATTTAGCAATGTCGTGCACATACTCTGCTCAGTCTGATGTACTGTGATCATTTTATTTAGTAGGTTCTTTGGTAGGAGTCCAATCTATTCATTTTCTGACGGCTGAAAAATAGCTGTATATTCATTAAATGTATAATTTTAAAGATACTTAAAGAATAAAAAAATAAACATGATATATAGGCATTATAATTATTATTATTGTTTGGATTTCTTTTACAGGGATTCAGACAAGTACATGTTACTGGCCTGTCAAAGTCCAGGACTTGAATAAAGTGATGCTATTTCGCCTCCAGTTCTGGGATACAGGGGATGCAGCATGCAAGAAATTTGACCATATCATGCCTGTACGTATAGTTAGTTGTACATATCGTTAGTTGAGCTGATAGGTTGGTTTGTCATTCAAAACTTTTTAACTTTGAGGGTGTTGCCCAGTAGTTAACTCTTTAAGACTAGTAATCTTAGAATTAATGGTTGCATGGGTTCGGACGCCTTTAGGGGCATGTTGTGGTATCCTTGCGTAAAAATCTTGACACTCATTGCTTTTTACTGGTTGGCTGAATGAGTAAGGAACAGATTTTAGAGTGTGTCTGTAAGCTTAGTTTTCTGCACATTGAACCAAAATAAATCCTGCATAAACTACATTGTAAAACTTTTCGTTTATGGCTGTCATTCAAGTAGATATTGTACACCAGGCTTATGGTTCAGATATAAAATATATGCTTTCTTTGGCCCTATCGACTGAGCTGCCCAGCTGTCTACACATTTCCTCCTCTAATTTGTGAACAGTTCTATACCATTTGTAAGATTTGACAATAACTGTATACATTTTGTAGTTTTTCTCTTGTATTTTTCAGGCATGTACAGACAGAGTTGATGCAGTTTTGTTTCTATTTTCATTAATAGATAAGTCAAGCTTTGATGAACTTCATCAGCAGATAAGTCGTCTAACTTCACCTAATGATAACATTGCAAGAGTTGTGGTGGCTACAAAGTATCCTTTCAGCTGTTATGTTTTGTATTTTACAAACATTATCCATACCCTTAAATGGATTGGGAATGTCAGCAATATTGTGCCCGAAATTAGAAAATTTTATATGTGATGGTAGCCTAGATTTTATCCATGTATCAGTGTCTGACTTAAAAGTGTGTAAAGAAATGTTTTGACTTTCATTCAAGTACTTGTAATAGTCAAGCCACTGTCTTACAATACAGATCTTCCTACAAATAGGTTTTGCCATAGATTTTACTTTCCATAGATTTTACTTTCCATAGATTTTACTTTCCATAGATTTTACTTTCCATAGGTTTTACTTGCCATAGATTTTACTTTCCATAGATTTTACTTGCCATAGTTTTCACATGCCAAAGACTTTACGTGCCATAGGTTTTACTTGCCATAGGTTTTACTTGCCATAGGTTTTACATGCCATATATTTTACTTGCCATAGGCTTTAGTTTCCATAGGTTTTACTTTCCATAGGTTATACTTTCCATAGGTTTTCCATAGGTTTTACATGCCATAGGTTTTACTTGCTATAGGTTTTACTTTCCATAGGTTTTATGTGCCATGGGTTTTACTTGTCATATGTTTTACTGTCCATAGGTTTTACTTGCCATAGTTTTAATGTGCCATAGGTTTTACTTGCCATAGGTTTTACTTTCCATAGGTTTTATGTGCCATAGGTTTTACATGCCATAGGTTTTACTGTCCATAGGTTTTATGTACCATAGGTTTTACTGTCCATAGGTTTAACTGTCCATAGGTTTTACGTACCATAGGTTTTACTTGCCATAGGTTTTACTTTCCATAGGTTTTATGTACCATAGGTTTTACTTGCTATAGGTTTTACTTTCCATAGGTTTTAAATGCCATAGGTTTATTGTGCTTTAGGTTTTACGTGCCATAGGTTTTATGTGCCAAAGGTTTTACTAATTACTGTATATGATATGTATAAAATAAACCCTTCACTTGCTGAATTTCTGAAATGTACTTGTCTAACTTTCATTTTGAAACTGTCAGTTATCATTTTTGTGGATATCAAGATTTACATATGGTTAGCCACCAAAAGCCTGACTCTATACTTGTTGCAAAGGCTAGTCACCTTTGGTTTCAGCAGAGAATGGGTTAATTGATGTGTATTTTATTGAAAGGGAAAGATTGGCGGAATATTACATACAAACATTGTAAGCAATTTTCTTTAACACTATAACAGATGCGATCAGCATGCTCATGCAGAGGTCACACAGAGAGATATCCGAGATTTTGAGAAAACTTGGAATATTCCGGTACTCAAGATGAAAAACACTGTCGATAGCACCCAGTCGGACTCCAGTGATATAGTACATGCTTTGAATACAATTTGTGAACATTTATGGCAGCGTGATTTAATTTTAGCAGGAAAAATACCAAAACCTGTTCCTGAGCAAAGAACGGACACTGTGAAGAAAACATTTACATCAGATGAATATGTTTGAAAGATATTACATATTCAGAAAGAAATTTAGACCTGATTTAAATAAGTAAAGGCAGCTGGCTTCAGAATCTGCATGCAGTGACAATGATCTGGAAAAAGAAATAAATCATTTTTATCTTGACTTTTTCAAAGAAAAATAAATTTCGAGCTATTGCTACAGTCAGGTTGATGTAGCCATTGCACATGCCTTTGCCCTCCAGAAATTTTAACATGGTGGCCAAATTAATTTTTATTAACTTAATGAAATGTCTTTTCAAACTTTGACGCAACCAAACCCTTTTTGGGACAAGTTTCAAGGGTCCAAATTATTTGAAAACTTGTTACTATTATCATTAGCTTTGTTGTTGATTAATTTTATTTACCAGACTTTATTTTAATAACTTGGACAAAATAAACACATTTAATTATGACAAAAGCAGGGAATGTTAAGTTTATTCTAGGCTTTGATTACATGTATGACCTTTTTTTGACCTTTAATTTGACTTTTGACTTCTCAAAAAGTCGTAGCCAATTTTGAAAAAATTTGCATTGCCTTACTTTTCTTGAGTCTAACATGTAATTATATTTATGTATTTTCTTGGACAAAAAGGAGCTTCAATGACAAAACTGACAATGATTGATTTGATATATTCAAATGTGACCTTGACCTTTGAATGACCTTGACTATCAAGGTCAAACATGAAAATAGAAAAAAATTTTTTTACAAGAAAATTATATTTTGTAGGAGTACTCTTTGCTTTAATAGTCTTTCTCTGATGTGTTTGATTTTAGAAATAATAAAACAACGATGCGTGGCCCCACTTGGTGGTGGCTCTTGTTAATTTATCAGGTTATGAGGAAAAGCTTCTGATTCAGTGGCAACAGTTCTCAATCTGTTTCATCTCTTGAAGTTTTTAGTCTTGGTCTCTGTCCGGTGGTGAGGGTAAACAAACCCAAACACACACACACACATATTATAATATGATTAAAAAGAATCAAATTATTGAGTATTTGTCTGACAAATATTTTGAGATCTTGGTAGCTTAGAAATATTTGGACATGTATAATTGTGATGTGCCTTTGAAATTAGATCAGCGTTTTCTGATATTCATTCAAATTTGATGGTCGTACATGTATGTGTTAAGTGTTATTTATGAACATTTATTGTATAATTAATTTGATAGTTGTGTATGCAAATGTAAGCTTTTATTTCATTAAAATATGTGATTGTTTACAGTTCTTAAAGATGCACTATGCTCAAATTTGAGATTTGAAAATATAGATAATTGTTCAAAGTCTTTTTAGGAATATAAAATAAACATGTTTTGACTTCACACAAAGTAGATATGTTATGCTTTAAATCTTACACAATATTAGTGGACATACTATCAATATATAGTGTGATAAAAAACTGGCAGTTTTTTAAAGAAAGGACCAGCTTTACTTGACCTGTAATAAAGAATAGATATTCCCATACATAGTTTTATGTTCTTTTATTTAAATAAGACATATTCAGTAAGAATTTTATAGATTTCAATAAATTTCTGTAATAAAAATATTTTACTTAAAGATGAGCATAGGATATCTTTAATGTAACAAATTAACATGTATAAATATTGTTATTAAAGTGTATAAAGCTTTATATAAAATTTGCTGAAAAAATATTGTTTGAATTTTAAAGAATAATATATTATTACAAAAATGCTTGTAATAAATAAATACTAGTATGGTAGTAAATTGGCATAAAAACGAATGGTACATGCACAAATAAATTGCTAAACAGATAAAACCCTACTTAAAATTGCTGAATGTTAATCCTTCTTAAAATTGCTGAATGATATTTTGTTCTGGAACATATTTATTCCGTTTATGTACAATAGTCATGTATGTAAAATAACAGAGGCTATCTATGTTACAACTTTTTGGAAAATGGACTATATTTAATTATGGAAACAATATAATCTTACTGTTGATAAATTCTAAAAAAATAATTCATAAGATATAGCTTTATACCCTTTAATGTAACAAATGTACAATGTAAAAGTATTAATGTAACACACTTACATGTATAGTGTCATTAGTAAAACGATTGTACATGTATTTAGTTATTAATGGAACAGATATACATGTTTAATGTTATAAATGTAATAGACATACAAGTATAGTGTTATTAATGTAACAATAGTACATGTAATGTGTTATTCATGTAATAGACATACCAGTATAGTGTTATTAATGTTACTATTGTACATGTAATGTGTTATTAATGTAATAGACATACAAGTATAGTGTTATTTATGTAAAAGATATGTATGTTTTTTAACATTAAGAATATTGAATACTGGAAAATTAATTTCTAAGTGAACAATGTCGCAAGTTAACACTGATTTATTTGCTGTTATAGGTGTGATAAGTGTTACAACTATATATATGAGCCGTGCCATGACAAAACCAACATAGTGTGTTAGCGACCAGCATGGATCCAGACCAGCCTGGGCATCAGTGCAGTCGGATCGAGATCCATGCTGTTTGCTGTCAGTTTCTCTTCTTGTAATAAGGTTGGTAAGCGAACAGCATGGACCAGGCTGGTCTGGATCCATGCTGGTTGCAAACGCACTATATTGGTTTTGTCATGGCTTGGCTCAATTATAATCTTGTGCAGAGACCTCTTTTTATATGCATATTGTCAATTTTAGAATCTTTCTATTTTTACATTTAAGCATTTATTTTTATAAAAAAAATGTGAACTTTAAAGAAAAGGTGTTTTTTTTTCTTTCTTGTATACAAGTATATTTTTTATTATTCATTTATATTATAAATTTCATTTATTTTGTTCCCTATAGGCCAGTATTTACCGGTACCTAAAACGTATTGCACAAGGATTTTTTACACCAGCTGAATTTACTTAATTTTAAGTGTTAATTGTGAAAAGTCCCGATATTTTGCCAGGTCCAAGTGGTTGAATATAGCATTTTTTTGCCACTTTGAGACTTGGCTTGATTCATTTAGGATGCCTGCTATGAAAAAAAATTTTACATTTTAAACGTCATGTTTAACGAAAGAACTCTTTTGAACAACATTTCAATCTTCCATGAGGCCCTCAACAAGGAACAATATAAATTAAACATATTCAAACTATTAAAATACATAAATAGAAAAATACACACAGGAGATTATCAATTTGTATACATCAATGCGGTATAAAGTTTTACAGATGTAGCAGACTTGATATAATCAGGAAGGCCTTTCCAAAATAATAATGTAATTGATTTCTCCAGTTAAAACTATACGTTTTGAGTTAAATAGATTTTAAACTTAGAACATAAGTTTAAGAGATTTTAAAATTGGAACAGTCTACCTCCCAGTGAGATTATTCTTCAGTCATTTAAGTAAGATCATTTTATTCTATGAAATATGAAGCAAAATGAGTGACATTCTTTTCTTTATGCATTAGGAATAGTGGAAGGGAGATCATTCTGTATAAAGTCTGAACTACACAAGCTAGGTAATAAGCACAGTGTATGAATCATATAAAAAAAAGAAGATATTTTTATATAATTTATGAATCATACAAGGTTTTTAGTATAATTCATAAAATAAGAACGTTCTCATTAATTTATTTACCATACAAGGGAGATTGCTGCATCTTTTAGAATGTCTCAATCTTTAAAATTATATAGTGTTCTTCATTATGTCTATACCATAGATGAAAAAAAAGAACTTTTCATTATATTAGAATCAAACAACAAGGATGTTTCTTCTTAATGTATAAATCATTCATAATAAAACTAAAAGATAAACATGTACATATGAATCATATAACTGAAACAATGCTTCAATACATATAAATCACATAAGTAAAATATTATTTATTTACATATTTAGGTAAGTAAATATTTTAATATAGTGACATATGCAATATGTTACAAAAATGCAACAGTTCAGAAGTATTGAAAGCATCCGGTCCAATGGACCTATATGTCTCCAAAACCTAGACATCATAATGAATTCAGGTATAGATCAATGATATGATAACATAAAAATAAGTTTACTTATGCAAGTTTAAAGAAATTCGATATGCAATGTTTGGAGTTGTTTTTCTATGGAGATATGAATTAACAACATAATTATATTGCTGATTTTCATGAACAATTGTTTAAAAGACATGCTACGTATGTATGCATGCGTTCATCTTTTAAATTAACAGTTGTTGCCCCAAGAATATTTGTTGCTTATTTGATAACAATAGTCACACTCACTCATAAAGTGTAATTCATCCTCGATTATGTTGATGAGCAAAATCTGCAAAGTATTTTTTTCTATTTGTTCCATTGGCTCTCCCATATATCACGGATTTATATTACATGCAATAATTGTAATTGTAATTTAAATCCGTGCATATATTAACCTGTTTCAATTCTTAAAGGTACTTGATGAATCTTACTAGTCACGTTAGTCCTCAAATCAGACAAGAGAGATAATTTTTCACATATATACAATTTCTGAACAATCGAAAAGAGATAATACTTTAAACTATATTCATGAATAGGACAGCCATATTGTTCTTGTATGTCCAATATTTATGAGATAATACTTTGAAATATATTCATGAATCAGCCGTAATGTAGAATCTATATAAATGAGATAATACTTTGAAATGTATTCATGAACAGGATAGTCATAATGTATGACCAAAATTTATCAGATAACACTTTAAAATTTATCATGAATTCGCCAGCCATATTGTATGATCGATAGAAATGAGATAGTACTTCTGAAGGTATTCCTGAATCAGACTAAAGAGATCGTTGAAAGAAATGTTGTTTTAATCTAACTACATGTATTAGGCTGTGACTAAAAAAAGGATTGGAGCACCACACTAAATACCGTATTCCGGTATATACCGGGCAAGGCGCTTGAATGATAAAATGCTAAAATCTTGTCTTTTTACCCAACGGAATGAACTTTAACAGGTCTAATTCATCTTTTTACACCGAATCAAGTACGATAATCAAGGAAAAATGTAAAATTCGGCGAAAAAAACGATATTTGTCTATTTTGTGATCATGATTTCTGCAAGCGTCTAGTGGTACTGCTCCAATCCTGTATTGAGCTAAATCCCATGTATTATAGCAATGCATATGGTAATGGTGACGTCACAGGCTGTATCTCCGTGTCTTTTAATTCTTCTTCTGAACCAAACATAGTATAGCCTAATTCTTTATAAATATTGCTACAATATCTGTTAATAACTCTAACAAATCGCCATTCTAATTGTTCTCTGTATAAAAACGGATGATTTCCATTTAATTTACTACCGGATGTTGCGTTCGTATCGATGTCTATAAAGTTATAAGCTTCACTTGTAAACTTCATCCCTACAAAATCTATTAATTTCCGTATTTTCGGTAAAGGATTCTTAAAATCTTCATATTGCACAATAAGAAATCTTTGCGGAAACTCTGCTTTCAATTTTTTAGCGTTTTCAATGTCGTCTGCCATTCTGCCGCAGATGCTTCTGGAAACGCTGGCAACGCTTTCGAGGGAATTCGCTCGTACGGGGGACCAGTTCGTGCGTATGTGAGAATTGATTACAGCTCTAGGATCACGGAATAGGTGGACTATTTTAAGATTTGGCCGGACTTCTAGAAATGATTTCAGGTTAAATAGAGATATCCGTAATACTTTTGTCACCTTGTTTTGACTTCTGGAGCAGACGTTACTGGACATGTACCGGAGACACGTGTCCAGCGTGTGGTTCTTGGCGCTGCATTCCCTGAACACGTTCCACTTTTTACCTAAATATAATACATATTTCAGAATTGTTACAAAATTATACAAACCCAAAGAACGATAAAGGTTGAATAAAGAACACTTTGGTTTAAACTACATTTGTAGTAAAAAAGAAAACAGTATTATAGAATCTTTATATAACGTATATGATACAAAATGTATTCTTAAATTTGAATTGTCATCCAGTCCATCCATTTTTTTTCATCATTTATAATGTAGGCTCTAAATGCACTTGAACGTCATATTTTGACATCGAATTTCAAAGAATATGTATGGATGCATAGGCATACTATCGTGCCATTAAGTGCATAAAGTTGATCTTGAAAACATTAAGTTTGCTAGGCGGTTCACATTTGTCCTACCTCATATTTACCTGATAATTTGGCATGTATGTTTCGTTTGAAAAATCTCAGCATGGGGTCCGTATTGAAGTTACATCCGTATATTTGAAACAAAATTCTAAAAGCAATCTGCAATTCACCTGTCTCACTGAAATGAAAAACCGCCACACTATTTCATGTTCTTTTAAATCGCCAGGAAAACTTGAAAGGTAGGGAAATTGTATAAAACGCCTGTTTTACTGATGATTGAAACTTATAAACTTACAAAAAAGCGTCACAGTTCCCTAGAGGACAGTTAGGTACGGGACATCTGGACTTAGCTTACCAAGGCTTTTGTGATCATTCTCAGAAGGCGTTGGGTTATTCCGTACCCGACTCGGTAAGCATCGTTACCGCCCAATGGACAGGTACCTTCGGAGCCAGTCAGAACCGCAATATTATTGTACAGTGCAACTTTTACAAAGCGGCCCTCTAAGGACACGCCCGTTTAACTCACAACGAGTGAAAAATGTCCATCGGTAAAATGTTGTGAGCAACTTCCGTTCCTCGTTGTGAGCACCCATCTCTTTGGGGTATGCACAACGTCTTGCAAAGAAATGCTGCTGTGCAAAAAACGTTTTAATTGCTGTGGTAGATTGAAAATAATATTTTCACCATCTGAATTACATATTAAAACCATACACGCACTGCGCTTGTCTTGCTCACAACGAGGTTATGATACTCACAACGAGGATTAAAGCAAAAAAGGGGTATATCTTCGTTTCTATGAAGACTTTCAGATAATAATTTACGCTGAAGGCTTGTGGGCATCTGTTTTTTAGGTTAGAATGCACAAAAAACGTCACCAAGAATCGACGTTTTCAATGTTTAAATTAGGTCCAAAGAGAAGTGTCCCTTCCAGTTTTCCAGCTACCCCGAGTGGACTGCGTCGCACGGTATTTCCATCAAATTGTTCCACCAACAGGCAAAATCTTTACATGTGCATACTCGGAAAACACATCGCTAGCTAACTGCATTCCGATATTTTACATAAATGTCTGTAATCTTCAAAAATTTTATGAAAAACTCACCTTGTTTATCGTGTCACTCGTCATAAGATGGGTGCTCACAACGAGGAACGGAAAAGTTTGCTCACAACATTTTTACCGATGGACATTTTTCACTCTCGTTGTGATTAAACGGGGTGTAAGGAGCAATTATTTTCGTTTCAACAACGTAGACAGCTTCCCCATTTAAGTAAAACTTCCACAAAAAACCTCTGTACAGTAACCCCTGTACGCAAAACTCTAAATTTGATCCCAATGGCATAAAAAGGTTTAATACTAAATGGGTTTCATAATTTTTACTACAATTTGGTTAAAAACACGATTTTTTCGCATTCCAGGGATAAAAGTAACGGCTGAGGCCCAAAAGGGGGTTTATAATGTTTGAACGTATCCACCTATGTCCCACTTTTGAAGAAAGTCGAACCGGATCTCATGTACGCGCTGATCATAACTTCGACGCCGTCATTTCCGTTGACTTCCGTTCCTTAAAGATAAGCAAAAGTTTAAAACAAAAAGTTAAAGAGGCCTAACCTATTCAGCGAAAGAGAGTAAAAAAACAACATCAAAATCAAACAAACTGGATACAGTGTCCCGTTATGTCCATCGCGACACATACATAACTCGAAACATCGAAAACTCGAAATGACGATGGTGAAATTTAGTCGAGACCAGGATGTTGAAAAGACAAAGTTTCGATGGATGAAAGTACGATGGAGAAAAGTCTAAATGACTATACTACGATAGTGAAAACTCGATATAATTTCATAATTTCACCATCGACCTTTCACCATCGTATTTTCGACTTTTATCATCGTGGTTCCTTCAACATCGTAATTTCGTTGTTTCGAGTTATGTGTGTGTGTGTCTCGATGGCCCTAATGGGACACCGTACGTGTATTTAACGTTAATAAATGCTAGGGAAAAGTTCGGTCGAATAACCTATCAACCGAAGACATCGGACAGAAACTCTAAAAATCTCTATGCAATTTCTATAGTACAATAAATTATTATTGACCTTTAAAAGTGTGACGAATCTATTTCAACCACTTTTTACCTTCAAAAAAAAAACGTTTACCTTCAAATAACGAGGGTCTAAAACGCAGTTTTCTACGGCTATGATTCTGCTTAAAATCTATGTCGATATCTCGTTCTGAAAAAAATGCACGTGAAATTCGGTATATAATAAACCAAATCAGTTTTTTATCTTAAATTGTACAAGACGCTTGAAAGGTACGTTTGTTGTTGTTGTTGTTGTTTTGGTGCATGTTTTCGTGAGATAAAAGTATCTATTTCACATATAATCAATTTAAAGAGACACATCCGTGGTTAATTAATTTATCAAAGATACAAGACAATAAGGAAATGTTATCAAATGCCATGAATTATATGATTAATTATACATTGTAAAATAAGGTAATGCACGAGTACTAATCAATCATGAAGTGAATTTGTTTCAACTTAAACGGGTTTCATTCGGAACACTTCGCATTTTAAAATAATCACCATTTAATTGAAAATTCTCTTTTTGAGATTGGCAAGGGCCGGAATGCTTCGTTTTTGGGTCGCACATATTCGGACTTTGATGGAAAAGTCCGAGAAAATGCGAATGGCAGAATCTCCATCATATTTATTATAATATTATTCGCAATTCATGTATATGGAAGGGGAAATATGACTTAATTAAATTAAAACGTTGGTTCCGATTACTTTAATTTCCGGAAAATATTGCAAATTACGTATTTGATGAAGTTGAATAAGCGTCGAAATGACAAAAAGTAATATAAAATCTTTGTCGTTTCAACGCTTTTAAAACAAATATAAGAAACAACAGGAAGTATCTTTAAAAGAGATACTCGGTCGAACTAAAACTGGTTTATTTGCATATCGTATCTCAGTCAGGAAACATGGAATGGGAATCATAAGAATTATGATGTTGAGTCTAGTATTGAATTTTACGTTTAAATATTTGAAATATTAAAATCATATGCATTTGTTGGCAAATACAAAGTATTTTAATAGAAACAAAATCTTAAGTCTGAAGTAAATCCTTTAAAAGTAAGGAAGAAGTAAATAAGAACTACAAACAAACAAAACAATTTATTTCGTACTCATTTTTTTAGTCTCAATTCATATTTTCCGTCATGTAATTCTTTTATTTCTATTATTGTGATTGCCGTTTTAGCTCAAAGAAAAATATTTAAGTTATTGAAGTTTGTTCCAATCGAAATTTTAATTGAAAGTTTATAAATGACAACGTTTTGTTGATACGAAAAACCCGAGTTTTAACAACTTGACGAAGATGAATGTGGTGGTTTTCACTAATGTGTGACAAAATCTATACCTTTGGAAATAAGAAAGAAACCTTAAATCCGAAAAAAACCGAAAGAGAGCCTTCTTATATTAAATACTTTGGCAAACATTTATTATAGACAAACAATTCAATCGTTAGCGGTTAAATAAATACTTCATGAATATGTAAAATACATGAAAATAATAAACTTTGTATATAACTGATAATACCAGATAAATCCGTTTTCTTGTGTGCTTTTCGCTATTTTCATAATTATTGAAACCAATGAACTTTGAATAATTTGAATAAAAGAATTAATAAACTATGTGTGAAAAGCTGCATTCCCTATTACGGGACATGTAAAGTTGGTCCTTTATTAAACAAAAAGTATCTTTTAAAAAGATATTCGGCCGAAGTAAAACTGGTTAACATGCAAATTATGCTATTTTTAAGTGTTTAAAACAAAAAGATAAGTTAGTAACTCTTGCATAAAAATGACATAATACCTATTTCTTGTAATTAAAGGAAATACCCATTTCATAAGCATTGAATTTAAATTATAGCATAGATCTCTATTTATTTTGATGATTTTTCAAAGTAGGACAACTTCTATTTTAGGTTTTTTGTAGCAATTATAAAAAATAATATCAAATTTGAGCATATGTTTAAATTGATAGTAAAAGGACTTATGAATGTAGATATTTCGTTTCCAGGCTCCTTAAGATCAATCAAAATTTAGACGCGTGTATAATAGAGTTAGAGTTAGAGTAACCTCTCCTGATAACACTGCAAATGGCGTAAGGGTTCAAAAGGAAGGTGACTGTTGCACTCAAAAATAAAGTCGGTTACAGTGACTTCCCATGATATTATTGCAAATCAATCTCAAACGCAGTGATCTCTTCTAACAGGATTAGATCTCTGCCATCACAACATTTTCGTCAAGATTTTTGACGATATGAATTTTTTCAATTTTTATAGTAATTTTTAAAAGTAAACACGGTTTTGCTAATGTTTCAAGACCGTAAGGTGTTAGATGTGAACTAAAATGAAAAAATAATTTTGGAAACATAAATATTATGAAATTAATTTTTAAATTTTCAATATCATCGTTTATTTCCAAAACAATGGCCCCTCTCGAAAGAGAAATCATTCAAGTAATTATTAATTTCGACTCTACGCTTTACAAAAATGATTTTTTTTCTCAATCATATCGACATATTTGAAACAGAGTAGCGTAACCAGTTCGCGGAGTTTGATTGCAAATGGTAAGGGTTCTGTTGCAATTGTAACAACTCGGCAATCTCCGTCAAGTTCGGAGATCGACCTCGTATGTAAGTGTATGAATACACCAAATTGTTATACGGCCCGGCGAAACACAGATTTTAATTATTGATGTAAACAAAGATGGCGGACTTTAATCAGTGTCAATCGTAACAACTCGGCAATCTCCGTCAAGCTAGGAGGTCGAATTCTTGAAGTCGCCCGAGGTGTTCCGATTGACACAGGTAAATCAACAATTTTTAAAATAGTTCGTCAAAATGGCGCATCCCTTATTACTTCCCAAACTCCTCACATGAAGTGATTACCTCCCTTGGCAGAATTGTAATAACTGCCTTCACAGACGTCACATGAAATTGAAAGTCACATGACGTAACATCGAAATTCAAATGAAAATATCGACTGTTACATAGAAAATCTAACGTCATTTTTCTCTTTCTGTTTCATTTTAAACTTTTCGTACCTTCGTCCGTTATATTTATATTAAACAATTATCAAAAGTATACAAAATAATGAAAAAGAAATGAAAAAGCTAAAAAATATTAAATATACAATATTTAAATGTTTGTGATGGCAGACATCTCTGTACTGATAAGGAGAGATAACTGCGTAGAAGATTGATTACTTCCGATGCAAATTCTTGAAGTCGCCCGAGGTGCTCCGATTGAGACAGGTAAATCAACCATTTTGAAAATAGTCCGTCAAAATGGTGCATCCCGTATTACTTCCAAGGCGATTTCTTGAAGTCGCCCGAGGTGTTCCGATTGCGACTGTGACCTACAAATCGGGTCCCCTGATATAATTGAAAAATTGGTAAGTGTTCCACAGGGAGGTGACTGTTGCGCTACAAATCGAGTCAGTTTGAGTGACTTCTCCTGTTATCATTGAAAATGGCGTAAGGGTTCAAAGAGAGGTAACTGTTGCGCTAAAAAAGAGTCAGTTAGAATGACCTCCCATGAAAACATTGCAAATGGCGTAAGGGTTCAATGGGAGGTAACTGTTGCGCTAAAAAATGTTGATTAGAGTGACCTCCCCTGATTACATTAAAAAATGGCGTAAGGGTTTAAAAGGAAGGTAACTGTTGCGCTCAACAACAAGTTTATTAAAGTAACCTCCCCTGACAACATTGCAAATGGCGTATGTGTTCAAAAGAGAGGTGACTGTTATGCTATATAAGATTCGGTTTGAGTGACCTCCCCTGAAAACATTGCAAATGACGTAAGGGTTCTAAAGGGAGGTAACAGTTGCGCTAAAAAAAAAAATCAGTTAGAATGACCTCCCCTGAATACATTGCAAATGGCGTAAGGGTTCAAAAGGAGGTAACAGTTGCGCTATAAAAGATTGGGTTAGAGTGTCGACCTCCCCTGATAACATTGCAAATGGCGTAAGGGTTCAAAGGGAGGTACCAGTTGCGCTTAAAAAGATGTTGATTAGAGTGACCTCCCCTGATAACATTGCAAATGACGTAAGGGTTCTAAAGGGAGGTAGCAGTTGCGCTAAAAAAGAGTAAAGATTAATTTTTTATTTCTCCTAATTATGATTTAAAAATCTGGACCAAAATGCCTTGTTTACATTGTCATTATATTAGATATTTTCGACCATGCGACCACATACATGCATCGAGGACATATTTGAAGGAAAGTGACCGTGCGACCACATACACGCATCACAAGATTCCCGTTCTCTTACGAGAAAGGAACAAAGAGTTGTCCGCCCTTTTATTAAAGGCAGACTGTAAAAATGCCTTTGCCTTATGTTATTGATAAGGAGGCTAGTTTTCACAGATATGGCTTGAATTGGTTTATATATAACATTAGTAATGCAAAGCAAGCGGGTTTTCAGTTTACGTCTTTTTAAGTCCGCAATGAAATTTTAAAAAGATCATATATAACTTCTTGGAAAATTTTGAGTTTAAACTTTTTTCTACTTCTCATTATATGTATATAGCAGAATTATTATAATTTTGCAAAACATGAACGTTTCAAAAACGTTTTATATAAGTTAAATATTGGAGATATATTTCACACTGTTTTCACATATTAACCTGGGGGCATTTTTGCCGATGTACTATCCAAGGACAATAACTTGAGCCTATGTTTACATAAAAATTAATAAAAGGTAAAGCAGACTGAAGCCTAATAAATGAAACACAAAGTAAACGTCATATTTTCATGTGCCTTGATAGCGCAGTAAGCAGAGCGTCCTTGTCAGTGTTGTTTCATGCATTTAGATGCTCGTATCATAGTTAGGTCCCATTACATTTGAGTGTTTTATGCGACGTCCTGTGAACGTTGCCTTTGCCTTGTTGATCTTTATTCTTGTTATTTTATGTATCTTTTTCTTATTTGACCACCTTTTTTCAAATAGTTTCAAATGCATGAGATAGAAAATTTTTGTACACAGGTTGATAAGCAGTTGTGCTAAGTTTGGGGAAAACGTCAAACATCAGGAAAAAGCATTATCAGAAATGTAAGAAATATAATGAAATGACGTGTATTATATATTGATAATTAATATTTCGTAATCGTAGTGTGTTTAAAATTGATTGATTCTTAAAATGTTAAATAAGATTTTAAAAAATCACTTGAAATGTAGTTATTTTCTTAACAGTGGAACAAAAAATGAAATGAAATAAAAAACATAAAATAGAAATAGAAATTTATGAGAACCAAATACATGCATATTCAAATGATCATACAAAAGACAGACAAAGTAAAAAAAAAGGGAGAAAAACAACACCACCGGCAACAACGAAGGGTTCAAACATATAAGTACAAATCATTAAAAGTTACTGTGTCGTTGATTTACCAAGTGAGCTTCTATACGACGGTATACAGTTTTTAGAATTAAACTGTATATAGTTGTTGTTAAATAATATGCAGAGTTACCCTTTATTGGAATATTCCAAGTACCGTTAAGTCACAGGACAATTAATATGGACAATACACATTTAATTTCTATATTCGACTTATTCTACTTAAAAAAGAAAAGGTAATGTGATGGGCTGCAAGAAAAATATAGATTAAACTTGAGCAGCACGCAAATAAGACACCGGTAAGAATACATACATGTATTTGCAAGACTTTAGTCTTATCATTCCTGCTGAATTTGATCGTTACAAAAGCATGAAGTAGGCAGAAAAGTTGCGATCATGCAGTCACGCAGACCTTCATCCGTGTGACGTCAAATTCCCTATCAAAAGAGATACCTTATTTTCAGCTACATCTAGCCTTCATACCGTAATCTAACGCAAAACATACAATGCATACGTAGATACTTTATTTTTCTTTTTTTTCCTTTCTTTTTTATTCGTTTTTTTCTTCTTCAGAAAATAGCTGAAGATATACTCATGATACTAGTGATAATATTTAATACAGTGATACAATACTATCTTACGGAAGCCCATAAGTGCCATTTTGTCTTAGGACTTTTGTCTTATGACTAATGACTTGTGTATTATGACTTTTGTCTTATGTATTATGACTTGACAAAAAAGCGGAAAAAGGGCAAGTTTCATCACATGCACCCTTCATGGACGTTGGAGGTAAATCTGATAGTGAAACAGAAGACGATTTGGTAAGTGTTAAATTTAAAAAGTATGACAGTACTGTATTTCTCCTAACTTGAATAATTATCTCCCATACAAGGTTAGGTTTCGAATATATGGGTCATCTCAGATGAAAAAATAGGTCACAGGGCACAACAATCGTATTAACTGTTAAAGTTTAAGTATCAAAATATTTGCAAGACTGACACATTTTTAAAACATGTGTGAAACTTTATTCTGTATAAAATATAAATTATTTCTCCTTCAGGTAAATGCGAGTAGTAAACAATGCGAGTAGTAAACGTATTCATGCACTAGTTCAGAACATAGCAGGCCACTAAGAAGAAAAAAGACCCAGGAACATTGAAAAAGATTAACTTATGGAGATCCATTGATGGTAAACATGTTGGACATTCATCTTCTACCTGTGACTCTCTTTACAAAGGAAAATACAAGAAATTGATTTATGATTTATCAGACAAGTACAAAGGCAAATGTGCCGAATGATGATATTTTATCAAATTGCAGAGTACAGTAGGAGAACAAAAAGTAACAAAGAAGACTGCTTTGGTAAGAGTTAAATTGTTAAAAGATTTACATAAATTAATTTTGTTTATGTCATGACAACTATAGTATATAGGATTAACTGTACAACTAGTTGCAACTTCTCCATGCATCTGTTTCAGTTTCAGTTCTTTTCCAAAACTGTAAGGCATTGGCCTAACAACTTGAAACTCTTATTCTTTTGGTGACTCTATTGAGTTATCTCCCTTTTAAACTTCTTTTTTAATTTTCAAATATAAAGGTTATTTGAGTGTTCAGTACCTGTATACGGTGCAATTTTGATTTAAGCAGTCATAGTCTTACTTATCAACCCGCCCGCTTATATCAACAGACCGACGGTTTGTTGGCGAGGCTATGTTTTCCGTGATTGTGTATAAAATTTTCAGGCCATTTAATCAAACTCCGTCTTTGTTTAATCTTTTTTCTCCTAGCAACATTTATATGATTTAAAAAAAACAACAACAAAAACTACACACTGATAACTATGATGTTTGAATAATTATTGCAATTGACATTTTATACAGCAGTGTTTTTATAAATTATATATTTTGTCTGACATCTTATAAGTATGAATAAGAGCTTATATGTATACGTACTCTGTTTTCCAGATATCACAAGTGAATATGTTGGCGTTCCATAGCTTTTGGTTTTGTCTTTGGATACAACAGGTTAACTCTGTATTAGGAGTGACACCTTCAAACATACCAGACACATCGACAGCAGGAAGTACACGGCTTGAATTAGTGAAACACTATTTTTACTGTGGGTTTTCATATCCGGAAATTATTCTTTTGTTGTTTGTTATAAATAACATTAAAATATCGTTGCGACAGCTTAATAGAGTACTTAAATGTAACAACTTACGACGTCGAACTGGATACACACCAGATCACATTGTTCTTGATTATATTTCCAAGGAAATTGAGACAAGTGGTCAGTGCATTGGTTATCGTTCGATGTGGAAACGCTTGACAAATGAACATAAATTAAGAGTTCCTAGAAATAAAGTTCTTTCATTTATGAAAACTATTGATCCTGACGGAATTAATTTTCGGAAAGCCCACAGAATTAAAAGACGCAAGTACAGAATAAAGGGGCCAAATTATGTATGGCACGTAGACGGTTACGATAAACTGAAACCATATGGCTTTTGTATACACGGTGCTATTGATGGTTACAGTAGAAGGATACTTTGGCTAGAAGTGTCACAAAGTAACAACAACCCTGCAGTCATCGCTATGTATTATCTTGAAGCGCTGAAGACGCTTCGGGTTGTTCCCCGAATTCTTCGTTGTGATAAGGGAACGGAAAATTCAACTCTGTCTTTGCTCCAACCGTTCTTCCGGTACAATGATACAGATAGTATATCGAGACTTAGAAGTTTTATATACGGAAAAACGTTTCAAATCAACGAATAGAGGCCTGGTGGGGAACTATGAGACGCCAAGGAATTCAATGGTGGATTTCCTTTTTCAAAGATTTAAAGGACAATCAAGAGTATGATGAATTAAATCCTTTACATGTTGAATGCTTGAAATTCTCTTTTATGCACTTGATTCAGGCCGAGCTTGACAGAATAGCGGTTAATTGGAACTTACATTCCATACGTAAACAGAAATTCTGAGGTACCAAATGGAAAACCCGATTTAATGTACTTCGTTCCGGAATTGTTTGGCGGACACAATTATGGAAAGATTGTAGATCAAAATGATGTTGTGAAATGTACGGCTTACGTAGGACAACATGCATTATAGAATTTCAAGATTTGGTAAAATTACTAAAGCCTGACATCCGCATTCCCAAGGATGTACAAGATGCTCTAGAACTATACAGGGAACTACTGGAACTTATTGATGAAGCCATGGAATAATTTCTCTCATATATGTGCTCTGAATAAATTCTCTTCAAGTATCAGATATTTAATATAATTCATTAAGATCGTTTGCGGAACAAGTTCTTGCCAAGGTTTTTTTTAATCAAAACCCTAGAACCAACCAGTACTGGTGTCATATGAAGAAACATGGAGATGGCTCGAGTAGGACTCGAACCCATAGTCCTTAGGTTGAGGGGCAGACACATTAACCAAGAGGCCACCGCTCCTCTTTCCCCTTGTTTAAAAGAAATGGATTGTAGTACGAAACGTAATGTTGTGTAAGCTTGTTCCTCCGCAAAATGGGTTTTTATATGGAGTTAAATAAAGGAGTATGTAAAAATCATAAAGTAGAGCAATTTATTATATCTTACAATAATTAAGTCATGCAATAAATTCAATTTTGAAAAAGAAACAAAACCAAATGCTATCAGATAGTATCAGATGTTAACTTTGAATTGCTTTTGCGTAGTGGATTGGTAAATTCTGCGATCACACTTATGTGCCTTTGAACCAGAATCTTTTACTTATTTGAGGTCAATTCAAGGACATTAAAGTAATACAAAGAAGAATGAAACACGAGGCTATTTGATCTGATAGCTATCTGATACAAGGGGGCTAAACTAGTTACATGCTTGTTCCCAAAATGTTGTTCTGAGATGCCCACAATGTAACTTCCAAACATGCAGATTTTACAGGATATATGTCTTATAATATTGTTATATTGTTATATTATATAAATGTATATAATTGTCTATTATATGATTTAAAATTCATACACAACATAAGAAGTAGTTATGTACATTAAAATAACATAAACTGATATCTATTCTGTTTCCCTTTTATAGGTTTTTCCATAGAACTTATTCAAACAACCCTTGAAACTTCACTGGTGGATATCAAAACATGAATATTTGTTACTAACACGAATCATTTTATCTTAAACTATGTCCATTTGTTTTATTTCCTTGCTTAGGTTTAAAGACTGACACTTTCAAAAAATATTGTTTTAAGGAAAAGAGCTCGCTTATATGAAATATAATCTGATAAACAAAATTAAATGGTTTTAACGAAATATATTGACAATTATTTAAGTCTTTAAGTAAAAAAATAAACAAGTGTTAACTTAAAACCAACTTTCTTTTCGGCATACAAACTTAAATATTTTGAAATCAGTCATAAGTTTTACTTAGATTTAAACAAATTGAAAATACTTATATCAAAGAAACAGAAATAATTATAGTTTTGAAAACAGCCTAATACAAAACAAGAACTATCACTAAATGTGATTAATACCCCCGCAAGACTGCTTCGGAAATGATGGAGTTATTAGTAATAGAATACCTTTTAAAAGAATTGAAATTGAGTTATGGTTGTGGGCAATTAAAGATAGTTGTGGTTCTTGTATGTTTCAGTTCCAGTCAATGTGGTTTAACATTGATGAAGTGTTATTGAATTACCCTGTAATAAGTTCAGAAAGAGTTACGCTTCTTCAGCACTGCACTTCATCTCATTGCGCTTGACCATTGTATGAAGTTGCATTAAATTCTAAACATTAATTTTAAGTTATGCATCGGACAAGGAAAAGGAATAAAGGGCAATAACTCTACAAATACTGAAGATGGAGTTATGGTTATTGTATACTGCACTTCCTTTCATTGTGCTTGACCATTGTATAGAGTTGTATTGAATTCCAAACCATAGTTTTCAAGTTATGCACTGGACAAAAATTAACAAAGGGCATTGTATGAAGTTTTTTTGAATTCGAACCCGTGCTTTTAAAGTTATGCTTCGGACAAGGAAAGATATCAAAGGGCAAAAGCTCTGTAATTTGTCAAAATGGAGTTATGATTCTTGTGTACTGCACTTCCTCTTATTGTGCTTGACGATTGTATGAAATTGTATTGAATTACAACCAGTAGTTTTCAAGTTATGCTCCAGACAAGGAAAAGAAACAAAGGGCAATAACTCTGTAATTAGTCAAGATGGAGTTATGGTTCTTGAGTACTGTACTTCCTCTCAATTCGCTTGACCATTGTATGAGGTTATAAGGAATTCCAACCATGAGTCTTAAGGTTATGCTCCGGACAAGGAAAATGCAACGGACCGCTTGACCGACCGACCGACCAACCAACCAACCAACCAACCGACTGACCGACCACCGGTTGACTCCTATATACCCCCCTAACTTCGTTTCGGGGGTATAAAAAGTTTTATTTAATGTAATATTAACCACTTTTGACGTCACTCTCAATATATATCAAACAATAATATTTCAGTTCCATTATATCACTTTTACTTATTTGCTACACCCGTTCATATCTTAGTTTATTTACTAAACTCTGTTGGGAATTCAGTCGCTACTGGTCTGCTATCGGGATCATAGTTCAGCCCCTTGGTTACAATGTCTACTATTCTGCTACAAATACAGTCCATTTGTACAAGTTTTGTAATGGCATGTGGGACTTCTTTTTGACTCATAAATTCTTTAATTGTTTCAACAACTGATCTTTCATTTTCTTCTTCATCTTCCTCTTGTAATCCCCACATTGGACATTCACTGAATAATTCTGCAAGAGTGCCTGCCATTCCCCAAACATCAGATTTTGTTGATGCAGGTCTATTACCAAGCAAAATTTCTGGTGCTTGAAAGATAAGGGTACCTGGTTGCATACCTGGTGCATAGGTGGTAGCAGAACTATTTATTGTTAACAATTTTGAAATCCCCAAGTCACATAATTTCACTACTTCTAAAGATTCTGATACAATGATGTTCTCTGGCTTTAAGTCTCGATGTAATATAATAGGAGAACTGTTGTGCAAGTAAGCAACAGCCTGTGATATCTTTTCAGCAATGTGGCACTTTTTTAGAAGGGGGATTATTTGGCATCGATCACCAAACAGTAGGTCATCTAAATTTGATCCTTTTATGTACTCAGACACAATGTGTAATGCATTATTATATACCGAATACCCCATACACAGTATAATGTGTGGATGCCTTACTCTGCTGAGAACTTTTACTTCTCGTTCAAGAGCTTTCTGGACTAGTTTAATTCGCCTTATTTTTACAGTTTTTATTGCAACTGGAGTAAAAAGATAATGTGCCAAATGTACTGTTCCAAAAGAGCCTTCCCCAATTTTAGGTCCCATAAAAAAACTATCATAAGGAATTTCTGGCACATTTACATCTGTTGAGAAATTAAGCGCGTGTATAGGATTATACTTGGCTGTACTTGAACGTTCTTTGAAATAGTCACAGTTTGTCTGTTCACTCACATTCTCATTCATGACATGACTTTTTATTACTTCATTGTCTGTAATGGAATCATAACTAGGAGTTGATCGTTCAGTAACAGTAACAATATCAACTGTTTTGTCCTCCATTGATGGTTCAGTAACACTGTCAACTGTACTGTCCTCCATTGATGGTTCAGTAACACTGTCAACTGTACTGTCCTCCATTGATGGTTCAGTAACAGTGTCAACTGTTTTGTCCTCCATTGATGGTTCAGTAACAGTAGCAACTGTACTCTCCTCTATTGATGGTTCAGTAACAGTAACAGTATCAACTGTACTGTCCTCCATTGATGGTTCAGTTACATAAGCAGTATCAACTGTACTGTCATCCAGGGACTGAAGTCTTACTCGGTCAGTTAAAATCTCCTGAGTTGCATGACAAGTGTTTGTTGAAAGTTTTATTTTTTCTGCCAGCAAAGCTTGAGAGTCCACCCTTACAGCTGCACATTCATAAAGTGTATCTTCATCTGATACCTTCACCAAGTATTCACCAGGATCAGTTACGGGGATTAAGCAAAGGTCAGGTCCACTTGCAAAGAGTTCGTTGTTTTTATACCACTGAAAATATGCACCAGAATTATGTTCTTTATAAAGTACTCCAAGTATGATTTCCTTGTTTTCTTGCTTCTCAAAACCCACAATCTGGTCAGGTGTATGAATTATTCCTTTTGCGTTTGATGTAGCTGTTGGATATTCAAAGTGGTTAGAACTCGGATCTGCTTGGCTCAAAATAGAGATCTTGTTGACTGTTATGCCTGTCACTTTGAAACTATTTTCCAGTGGATTATACCCATCTCTTTCTCTGTCAGGATCACTTACAATTGTGTCAAGAAAGCAGTCATCAATGGTTTGGCAGATTTTTTGTGAACATTCTGCTGTGTATGATGAGTTGCAAAGTTTAGTGTACTTTACACATATTTCACCAGGTGTTTGGTCATTTACTATCAATGATGTTAGAGGAACCGGAATGCTTTTATCATCTACATGCTGTCTAACTGGCTCTCTACCGTCAATCTCCTGTTTTTTAGATGTTCTCAAATATAAAAAGTACTGAGAGGAAAACACGCCGATAGACTTCAAGTATGTTTGCAAATTACATTCTTCCCCATTTGGCATGACAAATTTTGAGATTACTTCTCCGTTACATGTAGACAGGTTCACTACCATATCTGTTAACTTTCCCATATCATTTTTTCCATCTGGAAAGAAAATGCTAGTTGCATAATTTATAACTGTCTGAACAGTTTGCTCTTCTTCTTTTTTAAATTCGTATATTCTTGTACCGCCTCCTCTCCGTGCGGTAACTTGTCTTAACTTCCCACGAGTTTCATGAAGCCATCCAAGGTGCAACTTATATATGGCATGTCTACCAGTACCTCGCTGTTTCTGAAAGAAGAAATAATAAGCTATCTATGATAATTTATTGAAAATACACCAAGGGATATAGTTTTATATAGAAATTTGATGAATCTTTCAACCATCATAACTGAATCTCATAGAAAACTTAAATGTATACGTCATTTAATAAAGCGCCCAAAAATATGTGTCACTCACATAAAAACTTGCTGTTTATTTCTTTCAAAAAAGTACATTATTTTACGCAATGGTCGTATTCATTGATTCGTTAAATTAATCTAGGTTTTGACAAAACCAAAACACAGTTACCAGACTAAAATTTTAACCAAGTGATCTAGTATTTACCACTCATTTACCAGAACGTATTTTGACTTTTGAATTATGTCTTATGTATTTTGACTTTTGTATTATGTCTTATGTATTTTGACTTTTGTATTATGTCTTATGTATTTTGACTTTTGTATTATGTCTTATGTATTTTGACTTTTGTATTATGTCTTATGTATTTTGACTATTATATTATGTCTTATGTATTTTGACTTTTGTATTATGTCTTATGTATTTTGACTTTTGTATTTTGTATCATGACATATGTAATACGGCTTATGTATTGTCTATTGCGGGTTAAGAAGTATGCATCATTTGAATTATACAGATATGTAAGAAGTAAGAAGTATCGCAGCTTGCTCATCTATTACCCTATCTCCTTAGTGATAATTTTACTTGAGAATACTAAATTTGACTGCTATTTGCATGTCGGTTCTGTGCCAAAATAATCATAAATGTTCAAACTGTTTTCTACAACTGAATCTTAGTGCTTCGAATTATTTTGTTAATAGAATAAAAGAAGATTTTGCATGTAGGTTATTTACAGTGTTTATTTATATATTATGTAGTCAAACATTGCACAAATGCTTTAGAAGAATGAAAAGTCAAACATTTGTTATTTGTCATTTTCAAGAAAACTTTATCGATTTGGTAGAACCATTTCATGTATCAGATCATTCTATAAGTGATTTTACAATTCCACCTATTGATCATGTTTAGAAAAAAACAACAAAGAATTGGCTTCAAAATGTCATATTTTAAATTATGAAAAAAATCCTTGTTTTCACCATAGATTCCTCAATATCAGATTATTAATTATCATTTATTGTACTCTTTGTATTTTCACATATTAATATACATTTATAGTAAAGTTTCATTATATAAAACATTCAATTTGAAGAGGAAAAAAGTAATATTTTGAATGATTACATACTACAAGCTGTCTTATTTTTCATATTAATTACATATCATTGCATGTATATATAGTGATATCAAAATACAACTGATTCAGGTACTCTCATATTTCATTCCTCCACAAAATATGATAAACAAAATCAACAAGTTAAGGCAGCGTTCAATGAACGCAAAAAAGACAATAGTGTGAAACTTCTTATTTATTTATATTTGAATAAGTTATGCTGAATTAATGCAATTGAATCAACCATTTCACTTAACTTGATTTTTATATTAATTAGAATTATATGGCACATAAACCGACAAGCACGTAAACTGACAGAAGAACAAAGTTGTACATGCACAAAGTATCATAGTAGATGACTTTAAGCATTAAAGATGCATGCCTCCAGATGAGTCAAAATATTTTTTTTAAAAACTCAAACTTAAGATAAATATGCTAAGATTTTAAGAAAAGTAAAGAGATTCAAGAATTAAGTTATAATTTACATGTTGGGATAAATCACTGGTTTTGCAGTATGCATCACCATAATTCTCCTAACGCGTAACGAAAGGGCTATATTTGCCAATTTAACCACCTTTAAAAATTTACGATTGTAAGTAGATTATTACTTTGTTCATAACAATATTTTCCTTTTCATAATATTCATGAGAATTTTCATGAATGTTTGAAGTATGCTGCTTTAAAAGTTAAAGAGTTATTCAAATCCTTAATTATTATATATTAAATCATGACTCAGATATAGATGTACATATATGAAGACTGTTTTTCCTAAACTAAAATGATTATTTTTGTTGCAAGTTTAAGGCATGGGGCATGTTCTTCACACTTCTTTAGGAGGACCCAGCAACTACCAAAGCAAAATTTTTTTGGTAAAATAGATAAATACAGAATTCCTAAAGAAAGCCCAACACGGCAAAATTGAAAATGTTGCAGGCTCGGTTTGATTGAGCCTGTTCATGGACGGTACTGGAAAGTGCAAGTTACCGTCCACGCCCCCTAGCACCGGCTTAAGCAGAATTCAACATTTAAACATGAAATAGTAAAATTTTGAATTTAGAAACATCCGCAGATGTGTTCATACGGCGGTTATCATGGAACCTTCAATGTGACACTTCCGTGCCATTCCATGAAAAGCGGCGTATGGTCCCCAAGTAATAAAAAGCGTGTGCCCTAAACGAGAAAACAATGTGCGGAACTAAATAAAATGGAATTTTGAAAGGGGATCAGAGGTTATGAAGCCTACATATCACAGATAAGACGTCAAAAGACAAATTTAAAACATCATTATTCAGTATCTAGGGATTTGTACTTATAAATCATAAACCTGTTTCTTGAAAAAATACTTGTATTTTCCATTGTAAACAGAGTAACGTAACAGACTGAATGTCTCATTTTTACCTTTTTTGGATTTTCCATCATAAGCTGTTTCTTCTTCTTTTTTTGCCCTGCTATATTTTTAACTAGCTCCTTAATTCGTTTTCTTCTCACATTTTTCCTGTAGGAGAAATAATATATATTTCATACAGAATATTGCAAGAATCAAGTTTCACAACTGTATCAAAATGTGTCTGTCTTGCAAGAATCTTGTTACTTAATTAATCTAACAAATAATATTCATTCATAAATCAGATGACCAATAATGGAATAAGACCTAGAAAACCAATCAAAACAATTTTCCTGGCCAATCTTCATAAAATTTGCGGTGAAAATGTAAATTCTAGAGAGTTAAGATTTATAGCGCACTGTAAACTACTTTTTCTCACGAAATGAAATGGTCCATATAAGGACTCGTCCGAGAAATATTTGGGACAAACATCCTGACCGTGTTCAACAGAGGCAAATGAGTGACCATCGGTGTATTAATGTGGATGGACATTCATAAAACCTTACTAAGCCACTGTTTGACGGATGTGTTCTAAAAAAAAAGAACCTGATATTAAGACAACTTTGCAATTAGAATCGAGGTGAAAAGTAAAACTATAAAAGAGCAAGATGGTTTTAAAATGTACGTCAGTGTTGGTATACTTTTCTGGCCCTTCGTGATCATTGATGCCAGCAGTATTAAGTGTGGATAATTGAGTACCGCTCAAGACGGTGCAAGGGGGCGTGAGGGATGTTGCACTTATTCATTATCCCTCATGAACAGACTCAATCAAACTGAGTCTGCAATTTTCGCGTAATTTTGTTGTGATTAATGCTTCAGGGGGATCACTTTGTTTCCATTTTATTCTTTTCAGTGATACACATGCCAGTGAAGAGCTTGGAAGTTGAATTTCTTTTATTAACAAAACAATATTTTGAAATTTGGAATAATTTTTTCCTTTTTGTAAATATTTACAAAGGTACTTTGTGTTTATCTTTCCATAAATCTTCTTCAAATGTTATGTTTCTCAAAATCAAAACTGACATTCCTCGCTTTTGTTATCCAATTCAGTTCTAGAGAACAATAATCCTGCTGGTCAGTTTTTTTTAATTGATTTTGTTATTGTAACTGCTTTAAAAACACTCATTAAAGGCAGTTTTAAATTAAAGTGTAGTATTCTTATAAGTACTCCATTATAACATTTATACATGTCTCATATCAATTGTTATTAGCCTTTGACACAGAAAGTGTTACTTCGATATGATTTTGAAATAGATATTGTTATTTTATTCTTGATAAATTATCAGTAATAATTCCTTGAATCATTTAGTGGTCTCCTGAATAAACTTGTTACACATGAATAGATTATTCCAAGTGTTGGACCTATCAGTTCATACCGGGTCAACATTGCATCATTTTATATCTCACCTTACAGTTAATTAGCCAGCAACTTGAAAGATGTAGATAAAAGTGATTTATATTTTCCCAGTTGTTCGCATAGTTTCTATACAGACCATAGTACAGAACAAAATATACAAACTGAATTAAAGATAAAACTCTAGAAATTTAAATTATGAATTTATAGATATTTTTGAAATTTTATGTGCTGTAAAAAATTCATTGAGTGAAATATGATCAGACCTATAAATATTCTTTAATGTTATTGCTGATTCTCAAAATACACATCACCTTACAACACATTACGTGTTATATTATGCTAACTGGCTTTAATGACGCTGTATCTGCCAAGTGGGATTAAGGTCTTAGACCCATCATTGACATATCTTAGAACCTATGGAATGTTAATATTTATTGAATCTATGCTACATGCCTGACATGTTTGCAAATTTTCATTGACTTTTACCATCTAATAAGAAAATTATGACCAAATGTATGTTTTCGGCCTTTCCCTTTCTGGATCGTGTAAAATTTGCCAGAGTTGAACTATAGAAATGAGCTTATTTTCAACAGATATTGCAAAAACATTAGAAATTTGGTACCAAATTGTAGTACATTTATTATTTTATCAAAATAAAATATCATTTGAGTAACAGTATTTGCAATAAAACTTATGAAAACAAAAATATGTTACCATTGTCACTCGGAAAATGGCCAAATCGTGAAAATGTAGACTTGTACTTCAATTTTTCTAAGAATTTTCTATAACCTACTTACAAGGTCCAGCCAATTGAAATACATAGAAATTATCTAACATACCATATGAGAAAAATAAGAAAAGAAAGACATCATTTACCATGTTGTTTGTAAAATATACAGCATTATATTTGACAACCCCATAAACTGATTTTGGCCATTTTTCATCAACAGTACACATTTCTTTATGTAAAATTCAAAATACATTTTGAAAAGTATCAAACATTCTCAAAATGACCTAATTATCATGAAGCTATATTCTAAGCATTCTATAAATATGTTAATTACTGTATATACTGAGTAAATGTAAAAATTGTCAACTTGAAATGGATCTCAACGTATTGTTCTGACTTTAGAAAGAGCACGAGCAGTGTACTAAACTGTATTATTCCCAAAGTATCCCCTCTGGAGCAACACAGAAGTATATCATATAAAAATGCTATGTCATACACTAATTCCTTGAAAAATACTGTGCAAGGGCAGGGATAACAGTTTCTAATGTTCTTTTAGTATTAGTTACTCGTGGCTGACCGTCACAGTTCTTCATCACGAAAATGTTCCGAAGACCATCTTCGCCTTGGCGCTTAAAGATGCACCTTAGATGTTGTAGGTTCAAGCCGGACGCAGCAATATTCTCGGCTGTAGTTAACTTACACACACTATTATAAATCAATACTCTAAGTGACGGCAAATTCTTTGCTTTTTCCCGACTGCACAACTGGGAATTGTACACAGATTTTGTTGAAAATGTGTGTGGCAGCAGATCAACAGATAATATGTCCAAGTGGTGAATAAGTTTACCAAGAATCGAGACATCTTCTGAAGCATTATGAGCACAGTATGAAGCTCCCAATAGATCCTTTGCAAGGTCTTCCTGTTTGTAAGACTTCCTGTTTGGGTATGCTTTTCTAAATATAGACAGTGAATCCGCACATCCAGCAACACACTTTACACATTCTGTCCCTCAATCCTACATTGTCACATGCCGTCAACAAAACAGGAAAGTCAAATCTTCTGCCATTATGCGCAACCAATACAACATTCTGAAATTTTTCTAACCAATCACAATATGATTTCAAAGCTTCATATATGGAATAAGCCTCTACATTAGTTCCATTGTACTGCATCTTGTGATCCACCATTCTTAGGCCGGTCACTTCTTGTGCCTTGTCAGATATGGGCAATGTAGGTAGAACATACATATTGAAAGCTTTCCCACTTTTAGGTTCTGTGGCAGCAACCTGGGTAATATGTGGGATCTGGCCATCGTGTACTGAAACAAACAACACAATTATTTATAAATAAATAAACAATTTTGAGCTGTTTTATGTGCTCTTATAAATAATCTGAGATCTTATTCTAATTCAGCTTGTTCCGAATAAGGATAAACCATTCCTGATATATTGCATATTTTTTTACAATTATATTTTAAGAGACGACTAATCACTCAACCTAATATCGAAGGACGATAACCTAAAATGAAAGCAACTGTGTTACAGTTTTCACATGATATATATCAACAAATTCGCAATACAGGTCTACTTACTAAGGCCAGTTGTCTCCAGGTCAAAAGCAATGTATGTAGGCTGTCCTGTTGGCAGCACTATAGGTTTGAAGTCACCTCGAGGGACTGGATCTGGCAGCTTTTGGATGTCAGCATCATCTGAATGCCCAATCTCTGAAATACAAATATATAGATTAGAATATAACCTATAAAAGTAAACAAAAGGTAATTTGCAAACTTTGTTTTAGTAATGTTTATATTTACAAGAAATGATGTTCGAAGAAGGAAAAGAAGAAGGAAAACACCAGTACCTGCAAGACTGACAGTATTTTGTCAAAATACATGTATATGAGCCGTGTCATGACAAAACCAACATAATGGGTTTGCAACCAGCATGGATCCAGACCAGCCCATGCTGTTCGCTATCAGTTTCTCTACTTGTAATAGAGTTGGAAAGCAAACAGCATGGATCCTGATCAGACTGCATGGATGTGCAGGCTGATCTGGATCCATGCTGGTCGCAAACCCATTATGTTGGTTTTGTCGTGACACGGCTCATATGTTTGTTCTGTAAGTAAAAAAAACAACAGCACAAATCACTTTACCTACCTGACTGATAGGACATGCCTTCAAGAGCTTCTTGAGCACCTTGTGTTATTGACCGCTCTTGTTTTAGTTGAAGTCGCCGCCGCTTAGTCGATGGCAGTGCCGATCTTTCCTGGACACGCTTCCTATGCTTCTGGCATTTATCTGCATATCTGAGGCTGTGGACACCAGGGGAAAGACCTGCCTCGGAGTGTACCTGAAAGCAGTAATCAGATTATTTAGCACACTTTAAAATGAAATATTCAGTCAAACATGGATATTGTAAGAAAAGAATTTTCTTGATCTATATATAAACCCAGGCAAAAATAATTCAGATAAAATGGGAACTATTCATAACTCTTTACTATTGTTGAGGAAAACTGCATTATGATTTTTGTAAAAGTAACACCATTATTCAATAAAGTTTGCTTTTCACACCAACAATTTATACATTCCATCAAGGTGCATAGTGGTCTATAAGCAATATTTTTCTTCATTATCACTCAACATTTTCAACAGCAATTGCTTATATCTTTATATAAAAGTCATCTTGTGGATTGTTTGTCTCATAAAACTGACTGGCATACAGGTCCTATCTGCACAAAGCATAACAGAAAATTTAATGACAATCTTTCCAAAGTTCTAGATAATAGAGTATTTACCTTATGATCATCACCTGTCAACATCTTGTTCCTTGAATAATAACAGTGCTGAACTGGAACAGCTGAACAAAAACAACAAACTTCAATAAACAATTAACATCAATCAACCGTCAAACAAACATTCCAACATTATTTTGGCAATACATCCAACTAAATACACTTCCATGAAAATTATTTTTTTTTTTTTCAAAGGCTTCAACAATCTGAAAGAGACTGTTTTCTCTTTCTCAAATATAAATCAATGCTTATTACTTTATGAATGTTCTTTATTTTTCGAGTGATGGTTGAAGTTTGCCAAAATTATGCATGAAAAATTCACAAATATATGTAATACTGAAAACAATTAATACCAAGGAAACAGGGTCTCCAGAACTAGTATACCACAAATGAAAGGTTGTTATGACTTTCTTAATTGTTGTTCAAAACTATGTCTGTACTGGTCTAACATTTGTAAATAAAATAACAAGCAAACTAAACAGAACAAACTTAAACAGTAACAAGATATGTACCTTTGAAATGTAGTGACGCCCTTCATTGATGAATGCTGCTGTGGCCTTCACTCTAAAATCCAAAGATTCTGAATTCCCATAATGAAGGGACTTTGGAGCCCTCATGGTGACCTCTCTGTTGGCGTGCTCGCACTGCTGACTCGAACCTAGGTCTGCGAGCTGGGGAGCCTTCATCACAACTGGTTCAAACAGTTTTTCTAGCTGAGATCTAAGGTGGTCGTCCTTAAGCGGTCCTTTGTAGGGCAGGCTTCTGTGTGAGTATTTAACACTGCGGTCACGCTTGTACCCACACCATCGAGGCTGGCACATTGTGTGGTCTGCGAATTGATGAGGTACTAAAGCTTTCAGATTTTCTTCTAGTCCCTTTGGATCACCTTGATTCTTTGCTAGAATATACTTCACACATTTCTGAATGTGTAAGATCACTAACTTACTGAGCTTTGTGCTTTTGTCCGCCTGAAGAGCATATAGCTTCTTTCCAATGTTTTTCACTATATGATTTCTGTCAAATTTCTTTTTCAAGCTAATGTTTGATTTGGATTTCAGACGAGCTATCATGGTGTTATCTCCATCGCCTTCAATCACTTCCACAGGGGTTCCGTCCTTGTGTAGCTCACATACACCCCGCTCACCCGATACACTTTCCATAAGCCTGGCACTTCCTGTGTGATCATGAACACAACGATGATTTCGTACTGCCTCTGAAGGTCTATAAGACCACAGAATTTGCAACACTTTAAACCAGAAAGAAGAACATCAAACTCAACGATTCTACGACCTGTCTTCCAGCCCATCCTTGACACATTTTTAGGCAATTTCGGCTGGCATTCACAGTCTTGTCCATTACACAAATGTGCTCCAACATAATTGTGATCTTCTATAACATTCGACTGCTTCTTTAATCGCCGAGAATTCACAACTTTCTTGTAACGGCCTGTTTTATCGCGGACTTTCATTTTGACATTTACGGTGAAGGACGTTTCATGTAATCTCTAAACAAAGTGGTGGATTTCAAACATCCGATAATTTCAACGAATTGTTGGGAATTTGGATATTATATTGTTAATATACCAAACAAATAGCAGTTATTTAATTTTTGTTTACAATACTTTTTACGAAAACGCAATTTGTAACGTTTATATTTTTTAGAGAATAACTAAGCCGACCTAAGCCGAGTAATCCCGAAGTACCTCCGTATCCGTTACGAGGAAGGGCGGAGTTAGGCGAAATTTCACGATCTAATGATGGGTCTAAGACCTTAAGCCGTCAATTGTATCATAATCCATGCTTTTTTAGGGGAAATGAACCTTATTCCACTTTTACACTCATGAATGAAGTTTATCTATCTTTCAAATTTGATTTCTATGACAGGCATTATGTCTGTCTGCTAACATAAAGAAACAGGTGGCCATAGTAAATCATGATGTTTGCAAACCTCAAAGCAGTAAAATCACTTATTAATTAATCTTGGATATTTTTATTTATTTCCTTACTATTTCAACTCAAAGAAAGTCAAAATATATTGTTCAAGTGATTGCACAGGTTAATGAACAAATATGGTGAGATAACACTGTGAGGAGTGCTTTGCATTAACACCTGTTGTCTAAATTTTGTACTCTTGATGAAATCTTTGTAGTTTTAACTGATACATGAATCGGAGCAAGTATGTGCTATACATAAATAGCATAAATAGTGTTCGCTATAAACAAACAATAATACATTGAGAAATAAGCTTGTATAAGGGAGCCTAACTGTTTTCAATTTCAACACTTACCAAATTGTCTTCTGTTTCACTATCAGATTTACCTCCGTCAGCCATAATGGGCGCATGTGATGAAACTTGCCTTTTTGCCGCCTTTTTTGTCAAGTCATAATACATAAGACAAAAGTCATAATACATAAGTTATTAGTCATAAGACAAAAGTCCTAAGACAAAATGGCACTTATGGGCTTCCGTACTATCTAGATCTGTCATAAGCTTTATCTATATCTATTCTCTTCCTACGCAGTGACCCCGTTGATCAGTAAAATCTGCAAAGGGAGGTAATCACTGTGAGGAGTTTGAAGATATCTGGAATTTTATCGTGACAAAATATGGTAATTGATTTAAATCTACTATAACCTCTTGTCTGCAGGAATATATAGGTTTGCAGACCTTTTGGAGTCTCTTCGAGTAGATAATGAAGACGAAAAAAAAGATATAAACTTTACTCAATATAGATTCATTATAAGACTTAGTCATTTGTAAAACGGAAATATTTGGTCTGCTACTACTATTTGTGACTATTTATTTTGTGTTTGAAGGTTAGTAAGATACTTTGATAATTAATCTAAACACTATTCAAATCGTTCCGAACTTTTGGTGTTATACATATGAAATTTGACAAGGCTTTTCATTACATGTAAGCGCCATTGCCTATTAATGTTTATTTCTTAAACTGTCTATTGTCAACATGACAGACAAAGAACAGAAACAAGATAACGTACCAACCTGAAACATTCCACGCAATTAAAATTATGAAAACTGCAACAATTCCAAAACATAAAAGCTTGGGCACTGTCTTCATGTAGTAAGTATAGTGAAAAAAGTGCATAATTCTTCTCTTGAAGAGTTTTGGCATCTGAAACATTTGCTTCCTATAAAGTTATATCAAAATCCCGTTTTCGTTTAAATACATATTCTATTATACACATACATTTGACTGCCATGAATATTGAAATATTGAATTTTTCGCCGATCGTAATCAGTAACAAAAATGCCGCGGGCAGTTTTTGAAAAAAGCTAAGGTTAAAAAGACATCTCGTTTTAATTGTTTATAATTTATGAATATTTACAATAGCTTTCATAATGCTATATTTAGATATAAAACTAAAATGGACAGTCATCAGAAACTGTTTTATTTGATTGAAACCTAATTTCAAACGATATATATTCACAGGGATTGTACAATACAATAAAACATACACGTAGAAAAAATCATTAAAAAACCAAAAAGAAGTAATTTTAAAAAAGATACTCGGCCGAAGTAAAACTGGTTAACTTGCATATGTTAATTACGTGTAGTTCTTAGCTTTCCTTGCATAGTCATGTTGAAATGTTAGCAAAGCTTGCATAACAATGACATAATAATTTTTAAAGGGTATTGATTTTGAAAAATGGATCACTTTAAGATGTATGTGTTTCTGAACAAACCTGTCATGTTTTTGGTAAGTGAACTCAATTTCTAACACCAATATCTTGTCATCAATAAGGCAATTGTTATTATTAATACTTGATTAATATGCAAAAATATATAAACATTATAAACATTATATCAATTGAACACATCAATAATCATATAATATATTAGACACTTATTGAACATCATAAACTAAGGGTACCTGATAAGTTCTGATATTATTCTCGTTATTTTGGACAAAATTTAAAACTCAGATCTTGTGTAAAATAAACTCAGTAAGTTCTTACGTAAAATAAACTGTTCACTAGAAAATGTTATGTGATCTGAATGCAATATGCAATGCGTATTGTTATATCTGAGCGATTCAACTAGAAAAGAACTTGAAAGTTAAAGAACTATTCTGTACATTTTATTTCAAAACTATCCTTTACATTTTATTTCATAATGACAATTAAGAACTCCCCTTTACATTTTAGTTTTGAACTACATGTATCTTAGAATGACAAGAACTATCCTTCACCTTTTTATTGTAGAATGGCCAATGAGATTCCCAGATTTCATTTTGGAATTTTAAAATGACCAATGAAAACTCTTTTTACATTCAGTTCTGCCCTGTAAATTGTAACAATGCAGTCAAACTGAAAAATGAACAGCCTTAGGCCGGAATATGCAAGCAAAAATGTACAAATAGATGAATGTACCATACTGGCCGTACTGTCACATTTAGTGGGACGGTAAACAGATTAATGTGGTAAAAACAATAACCTGTCAATAGATAACAACAACAACATCATTTAAATGTAGCCATCCAAATGATCAATGGGATAGATTTTTATTTTTATTTATATTTTTTGGATGGGTTTTACGTCGCACCATATGGTGGCTTTTTAGCTTTCAGACACAACCGTGCACCCGAGTAGAACCACCGACGTTCCATTAGCTAGATGGATAGCTTTCTCACATGAAAGAGTCTGAAGACGCTGGCACGACTCGAATCTACAGCGATGAGAGGCAAGGGGTTTGAAGTCAAGGGCCTTAACCACTCGGGCATAGACACCCCTCTAGTTTAAGTAAATAATATGAGCCGCGTCACGACAAAACCAACATAGTGCGTTTGCGACCAGCATGGATCCAGACCAGCCTGCGCATCCGCGCAGTCTGATCAGGATGCTATCAGTTTCTCTACTTGTAATAGAGTTGGTAAGCGAACAACATGGATGCGCGGATGCGCATGCTGGTCTGGGTCCATGCTGGTTGCAAACACACTAGGTTGGTTTTGTCGTGACGTGGCTCAATTATATTTCATCATGTCATTTCTAAAACACGATGTTGTTTTCCATATTTCGACCATGAATTATACCAAGTCAATATTTTTGATTTTTTGGTATATATATATATACATTCAATATGTTGTGTTACGATAGGCTTATTTTTTATATAAAATTTATTTCCTTGCATTTTCATGCTGTTTTATTTCCTTTTGTGTAGTGGTCGTGCTTTTAGGTGTGCTAAAAATGTGAAACCAATCGAAACATTTTGGCTTTTATTCATAATAACGTTATTATACTTATCCGAAGTTTGACGGAAAGGGCCGAGATGATGCGTACACTTCGGTGACGTTTTTTACTTAAATAGAAATTAGATGATGGATATGGTACGCATAGCTTCATATGGACTACAACGTGCAAAGAAAGTATCAAACGAGCATTTTTGTACATGTTATACTAGATCTTTTTTTAATTCTTTTTTTTTTATTTAGACTGGTTTGGGGCATTTTTCTCATGAGCATGTTAAACATTTCCGGAGCCACGACAACAAATAAAATAAAATAAAATCCAAAGAAGTATGCGTCAAAAATCAACAAGAGTTGGTATGACTGCGTGCTCGACTACCATCTGTGCTCGACAGTAAATCAAGAGCCTGGAACAAGTAGATATTTTAGTTCAAAAAGGTCACAATTCT